CTCTTTGCTATCTTTCTCTTTCTCAGTGATATCTTCCAATAACCGGTCCAATTCTCACATTTGTGTTGATGTTCCACTGCTTGCCTCATCCTTTTTGTTTTTTTCTTTATACTTAGCTTGTAATAGTGCAAACCTCTCCCTCACTGATCTCTGCTTTACGGCAAACTTTAATTCTGCAGAACTATTGAGCGACCTTGCTATCTTCGACCACACTTCACCGCTGTCAGGACTTCCTTTTTTAAATTGAAAAGGGTCCTCAAACGCAGTCTCTCTCAGCAACATCAAATCATGGTCTTGGGTCCACTCCATTGCAGCCCTACAGTAAGACAAAATAATCAGACCCGAGTTTTTAACCTGACTAGCCCCTCAGCTATTCAGGGATTCTAGATCATGGCTGAGAAATAACATACAAATCATTGAATCTTGGAAATGATGCTACAAATTTTATCAACAAACAGCGAAACAATTAGGAAAATTCAACTGTGATTTCACTGATTCCAGCTTAAATCAGATTTTTACAATGTTCGCTCAAATAAAAATTGTCAGTCAAGGACTGCAAGTGGCTACAGCTATAAGTTTAATTATTCTTTCTGTTTCATTTCCTATCTTGCACTGAAAAACTTGTTCGCGACAGTAGCCACTTGCAGAGAAATTTAAAGGAGGATGTCCTTCAATGAATACTGCCCGTTATCACGTCCAGCAACTCATATGAGCACGTTTAAATGCTTCTCGCCTTTCATTTTGATGCCCGACTTGAAGCTGAACACCATCAAGAGTTGTATATAAAAATTAAAGCAGCCATAGGCAAAAAAGGCATGTTTTGTCTGGTTATAAAAAAGATATTCGGCGACTGAAACATAACAATAGATAAAAACTTGAAAGAAAAACCCTCTTCCAAACGTTAAGAAACAATTTAGATAAAGAGTATTAGCGTTATATATCAAAATGAAAACGGAAAGGACAAGCAGAATCATGTACAAAAATAAACTCACTTGGGATGCTTTTCGACCGACATGTGTCTTCCACACCTGTGAAAAAAGCGTAAATAAAGGAAAAATATCAAACCAATTCTAAAGAAAACTGGTCTAAATTTATGAAGAAAAGGAATAAGAAGTTGTTTTACAAATGAAAACACTAAAAGTCAATTAAAAGGTTAATAAAATACTCACCTAAAACTCCCGTAGTCGCCAGTACGTCAAACTACTCGGTTTGCCGTACTAGGGAAGGCCGCTACGGCGGCAAGAAACCGAGGGTGACACTCGCGCGCGCGAAAAAGAGTCTGACTTCATTTCCGGTTCCCGTAGCCGTCCTGAAAACCGTCGGTGCTAAAAGTCCCTAAAGACTCTAATGATAACAGAGGACGCCATCTTGAATTTTATTCCCACACGGGTATGGAGAACTGGTTTCAATGCTTCCCAGTTTACCCTGGTCTCAACTTAAGTTCCGGTTCCGGTTCCGGTTCCGGTTCCGGTTCCGGTTCCGTTTCCGGCTCCGGTTCACGAGAAAAAATAACGGACTCCCATTTTTGGATATTTAAGGGTATTTAAAGAATACCCACAAAAATCCCAACTTTGGAAGAGTGAGACAAGTCCCAGTCTGGTAACTTAGTTGGGAATTCCCTGGTTGGGACTTGTCTCACTTTGCCAAATTTGGGATTTTTTATGGGTATTCTTTAAATACCCTAAAATATCCAAAAATGGGAATCCCTTATTTTTTCCTGTGGTTCCGGATTCCGGATTCCGGCTTTTCCATACGCCCAAATTACAGCAAGATTTGTTGGCATGTACATCACCTCTAGCTTTTATTATTAAACTGTGTTGTAGGACTGGATTTCTACAGGTTTCTACAAGCTTACGATAACTGTATGGGAACATTTTTATTCATAAAAGTGGCCTTGTCCTTTTGGCCGTTATTACCGAAGAAAATAGTACCGTCCAACGGGACATCCTGAGTTCTAGCAACATTTGTTAGAAGGTATATCATATCTAGGTTTTTTATTGTTAAATGGTGTTGTAGAACTTGATTTCTGTCGGTTTCTACAAGCTTAGGATAACAGTATGGGAATATTTTTATTCATAAAAGTGGCCCTGTCCTTTTGGCCGGTATTACCGAAGAAAATAGTAGTGTCCAGCGGGACATCCTGAGTTTTAGCAACATTTGTTAGGAGGTACATATCATATCTGGGTTTTTTATTGTTAAACGGTGATTCTTTAGGTTTCCAAAAGGTCAGGGTAACTAAATAGGAGTTTTTTTTTTTTCGTAAAAAATTCCTTGTCCTTTTGGCTTGTATTATTTAAGGAAATAGTACCACCTAGCAGGACATCCTAAGCTATGTCAGCAGTTGCTTGCGTGTATTACTACATGACATGCAGCTTGGTATTGTTACATTGTAGTACATACCTTGCCCTCTGAGGGCTTTTTCCTGTCAGCCGGGGACAGCTGGACAAAGATAGTTTTATTCATTCCTTGTTGTTGTTATCACCTAAGAATGTCCACCCAGGGGGACAATCTATAGGGAGTACTCAAAACTGACAGCTAGAGGTGCCGTTTTATTGCCAGGGAAGCGTGATTTTACGGTATACTTTGCGATGTTTGAGATTTTCTCATGTTCTTTGAAAAATTCCTAATTGATCATATCATCAGTCCATTATGTAATAATGATATCCTTTCATTCATGATATACTTCCATCCTTACTACATCCAGGAAAGGCCAGTTAGATCTATTATTATCATAAATATTATTGTTATTGTTGTTATTATTTAGTATTGTTATAGAATCATTGTTATTTCCTGTCCTCAGTATTTGTGTGCTGTTTGACTGGTCAGTTATCACTCAGCAAAAAAAAGGTAGGTACAGTTGGCTGTACTCTCTGGCTGGCACTATCAAAACAAATCATTTTTTTTTTGTGACAACAACATTATTCTCACCCCACCTCTCCATACTGAAATTGTGGTCCAATATTATCCTTGGTCTAAATTTTATTTTCTTTTGTTTCAAACTCATTATCATACATTACCATACCCAAAAACCTACCTACCGTGGCAGGAACCAGCCTCGGTTGTTGATTCTGGAGACTCTATTTTTAACTTCCCCCCTCTCCCCAACTGTCAACAGCCCCAATAACCCCACTACCGGTCGGAGAAGTAAATCAAGTAAACAAGATCCTCGCGTTGCTTTGTGCTGCTCACTAGTGTTCATTTAAAAAAAAATGAAAAAAAAAATTGAAAAAAAAGTTAGAAACTTTGAAGAGGAAGCTAGGCTAACTAGACAGTACATTGTAACTGTCTACCAATTTCATAACAAGATATGCTTTGTTCTTCTTTCATGGACGAAATTACAGAAACTCATCAGTGACAAGTTCTGTTCAATTTCTACATTACAGATGTACCACAGCAATTAAACTCAACTGATTGTGGTGTCTTTGTCTGTATGGTAGGTGTTGCTATTTCATCACCTTTGCAATGAAGATTATTGAATGGAAAGTCATTCATTATGCAATTCCATCAAATTAAATATGAGTGTTATCCTTCAAACCAATTTTCATACATCACTACTGTTACTGATTAGTTTGCAGAGTACCTCAGAAGGGGGATAATGCCTAATAAAAGTTCAGACACTGTTGATGAAAAGAAGTTAGTTTCACAGTATTCTACCCCCTTTGAAATACAAGTGTATTTTTACTCTAAGACCTTGGATATTAATTAATACTCTTTTGTCTCTACTCCTTTATCTTTTCAAGATTTCCAAAACATGATTAAGCAACAGCTCTTGCAAACGTTTTTGTAATAAACTTAAAGTACCAGGGGCACATCCACGATTTTTGAATGGTGGGTTGATGATACTAATCGGCCATCAAACTATACGTTATTAATTTTAAGTTGTTGCACTTTTGTCCCAAAGCATGCTGATTTAGGAAGGACGATGGTTGGTTGGCTTCACAAGGTTTTTGCCTCCCACGTATTTCCATTTATTTCCTTAAGTATTACATTTTTTGGTGGACTGTTCTAAAAACGGGTGGCTAGCCACTCAATCCACCCCTCCTGGATCCAAACACTGACACATGGACTACCAATTCCTGTTGATGAGTGGAGAAAATAGAGCTTGAAAGCAACTCCAAACTCATCGTGCTCCTTAATCATTGAGTAACACAAGAAATCTAACGAGGAAATTATTTTATCTCAGGTAATTTTTGTTTTCCATTTGTTTCAACGTCATTAGCGTTCATTACCATACCCCAAAACAAAAGAAAAACAAAAATTACCTGAGATAAAAAACAAACTTTCAAAACACTTTCAAATGAGATAAACCATGAAAAATTAAACACAAGCTTGCTGAGCTAATTTAGGACGTCCTGCTGGGTGGTACTATTTTCTTAGCTTATACCATTCAAAAGGGCTAAACAATTTTCAAGAATAAAAACCACTCCTGTTTGGTTATCCTTGGATTTCAAATGTTAAACCAGATAAGGGGTTTTGCACTTCCCCATCACTGTTATACCTGAGTACTTCCTATAGAGTGTCCCCCTGGGTGGACATTCTTAGGTGATTACAACAACAAGGTATGAATAAACTATCTTTGTTGAACTGTCCCCAGCTGGTAGGAAAAAGCCTTCAGAGGGCAAGGTATGTACTACAATGTAACAATAACAAGCTGCATGTCATGTAGTAATACATGCAAGCAACTGCTGACATAGTTTAGGATGTCCTGCTAGGTGGTACTATTTCCTTAAATAATACAAGCCAAAAGGACAAGGCATTTTTTATGATAAAAAAAACACTCCTGTTTAGTTACCCTGGCCTTTTGGAAACCTAAAGAATGACCGTTTAGTAATAAAAAACCCAGATATGATATACCTCCTAACAAATGTTGCTAAAACTCAGGATGTCCCGCTGGATGGTACCACTTTCTTCGGTAATACTGGCCAAAAGGACAGGGCCACTTTTATGAATAAAAATATTCCTATACAGTTATCCTAAGCTTTCTCGATCTAATCTCCAAGCAAGCGAGACTGAATACCGCTGTGAGCGCGTTCTTGTCTTTTATCAAATAATGGCACGACGTTAAGGTCTCTAAATAAAGGCCCCGAGGGGGTGTCTCATTTTTTGTCTAGGATTACTCTGGCGCATCGTTTCTGTAAATTGATTACGTCTTGGACGTGCGGCTTCGGTTTGCTTCATGTTCCCAAGACAATAACCCCCGTAGTCAAGTATTAGCTGGATAAGTGAGTTGTAAAACAAACTTCTCAGCTTTTAGTCACAGAAATGTATCTGTTCTTTTCAAAAGGCGAAGTCGCCGTCCTATATTCGATACCGTTGTCTAAAACAGTTGTCTATCTTTATGCCAGGTAGTTTAGTATCGGTTACAGAATCAAGCTGAACCTCAACTGTTGTCACATTAAGATTTCTGCCGTTCAAGCAGTTAGCCCAAACTTATGCTGTAGACAATCACTTGCAGGGACGAGAATCATCAGCAAAAGCAAACGCAAACACAACTTACATATGAGCTTCTGGGAACGAAAACTCGAACTTACCCTGTGCGGAAGACGAGCTCAGAGCACTAGCCTAATCACCAATTAACCGACTGCTGCTTCAGCCACGAACACTGAGATACACTTTAGAAAGTAGAAGTAGTTGATTATGTAACTGAAAAGGAAGCAGCGTACTTACCACGGAAACTGCGAGGTACTGTTCTCTGTGACGCAACCAGCAGTCAAATGAAAGTTATGCTGCTTGTTAGCTCTAATCAATGGTCAATTTTCTGTACGAGTCATAGAACCGTGAAATCTCGACATTTTGACTCTTTTCCAATGGTGAGGTAATGAACTGTTCCGCGCTAGATCATTCTTTCTGTTGACATTTGCTTGAAAAAACGATCTTTGATCCTAGCGCACTTGTAAAACGGATTAAAGATACTGAAGAAGGCAGTCTTTGCCAAATCACAGATATCGTATCAGAGGATTATAGTTTTTGTTTGATATTAGTCAAAAGAAAATCAACTGCAGTAAACTGAAGATACAGTCCAGTTCAGAACATCAGGTTAAACTTTCAAAGCTATTCCCGGCGTTGGTTAGCATTGGTCACTCAGTGAAGGCCCTTACATAATAGAGACAGCAGTGGGGGGTATTCATTTTTAGAGCTTATTAAAAGCCATCTGTGCATGATTTTAAAAAAAGCCATCGTTTTTTCCATGATTTTTCCAAAAAACTGTTATCATTAAATAGTTTGGAAATGAATAAACTGACGACGAATGGCGAGATTTTGAATTTTAGACCAGACGTCACATTTCCATGAGTTAAGAAAAAGACACGTCATTCATGTTCAATGAACTGGGAATGGACCCGAATGACGCAGGTGTTTTGTAGATAAACTTCCTTCATGGAAACAATCATATCGCTGGGCCGAAAAGTCCTAAGTACATATTTGGCTTTAAACTAGGGATTATTCTTACTCATAATTCCGAATAGATTGGCATCTCTGCGGTAGCAGTCACCTGAGTTTGACTTTTGGGAGCCAGTTGCATAAATCTCAACGAGACACACCAGCTAATCCCTATTTCAAACAGTACAAATTATTAGCTAGAAATGCTCTACTTTTTTCACCACTCTTATATAATTCTATCTCGTTCCAAATGCGCATACTTCTTCAGTTTTCAAAGAACCGACAAAAGTAAATAGAAATAATTTCTATTTACTTTTGCCATCTGTTGAAAAACGACTCATCTTTTCCACAACCTTAACCCGAGCCTTTAATACGGCCGATGGAATGCAGACGAAAGCTGGTTTAAAGCGATCAAAGAAGGACTAAATTCCCTGCAACTACTAGAAAGTATAGCAGGAAGCGGCCAGAGAAGTCAGAAAAAGCGTTTCGTCGTGCGGAGAAGATCTGGAAAAGGTACACCTTGGTCGTGGATTACTGAATCGGGGAAAATTAAAATGAGGGATTCGTTCGAGAAGCAATATCGTATGTTTTCCTGACGGTGGCGGATGACCGTCGAGTCAGAAACTCGGGCATTCACGTAGTTGTTAATTATGTATTAGCTTAAATGATTTTTATTGAGGGTCGCTGACTGGATTCAGCTCTACAGTGATGCCCTTCAGTCCTTCTCAATTTTCTAAACATCAGTCGAAGCGGGGTAAGTCTATTTTGGGTTCCTTTGTATCATCTTCAAATGAATACCTATTACTGTTTTAGCACAAAAACGTGTTATGCTCCATTTCATACTTCATACAATAATGTAGGTGAGCAGGTACCCAAACTAATTTGCAATAAGTGACAGTGGGAATAATACTCGTAAAGTAAATAGACTGTAAGGTATCCTTTGTTATAAATACTGGAGCCTTTTTAGCTGATTTACTTTCTGGCCAAAGGACCTACAAATCAGTTCAATATGGCTAAGCCAAGACAACTGATTGTCAATAATAATTCCTAAACACTTAGTTTTCATTATCACTACAGTCAAAACCCGCGAGTAAGAACCTGAAAATTAAGAACCTGTTAGCCTAAAATTTCCCGTTTATAACCCCTATAAACAAGAACCTGTTTAGCCTAGAAAATGAAAAACAGGCTCTTATTTTTTAAAGTCATATTAGTGAAATGCAGCTGCAAAGCTGTGCAAGAATCCTGGTTGGAGAATTAGGAGCTTGATATTGCTGTGCAAATAAAAGTGCTAATTTATTGATGTAATAAAAACTGAAATAAAGTGCAAGAGGTTAATATTGTTGTATCACATTTTGAAACCGAAAAACACGCAGATTACCATCTCGTTTTGTAGCTTGTTTTTTTCGTTTTTTTTATTTTTTTATTTTTTTTTTACAGAAATAAGAACCTATTTAAGAACCTAAATAGCCTAAAATTAAGAACCTACATAGCCTAAAATTGTGTTAACTACTATTTAAATAAGAACCTGTTTAGGCTAACTCCAGAAAATGTAGGTTCTTACTCGCGGGTTTTTACTGTACACGAAAATCGGTAGTTTCATGCCAATTCTATCCATTAGAATTGTTTTAAACTGTTTTTATCTGTTCATTTCTCATTTTGAAAATTTTTTAACTTGAATCTTTATCTCTCTATTATTATAGCAAAAAAACGTGCCTCACAAACGTCGCGAATCCCATGGCTCACCTAAGTTACGCCTCGTTGGGCGAGGTTAGGCATTGGATGGGTAACCAGCCGCGAATGTCCTGTTCTATAGGCTTGTATTTCTATTTCTTTCAGTGTTTAACAAAACTGGGTTCTACGCCATGCCCAATATTGGCCAAAACTAAAACTAAACTTTGTCGTCTGTTACCATCGGAACGGTGTATAAAACAGACATTTTTTTCATCACTACTGTTTGTTTCACTGTATTGACACCCGAGATATTCACCGAGGCGCCTTTTTGGTTAATTGTATGAGTATTTATACAGAAAATGCGCGTTAGAACTGATTTAATTGTTGTTAATTTTTATTATTAATGCTGGTCTTTTCCTAGCCTGTGTACAAACGCTCCCTCCCGCACAGGCTAGTCTTTTCCAGGTGATGAGTTAGAATAATCATGTCTCAAGTCTACCATGGGTTTGAGCAAATACATCATTTTCCACAGTTAAACTGGTTTATGCGGTGGAAGACGCTATCCAACTTTTGAACACTGAACTGGAATCAGATATCTAAACATTGTTTACTGTTAACAGTAGAGACTCCGGTTTAAGATACGCCGTTTCCGCGTAGGCCCGAAGGGTATAAACCGTAACCGTAAATACGGGTAGATTACTTCTTCCCGCGGAGAAGAGGCTAGGAGCGCGGGTAGTTTACCCTTGGAGGTCAATGTTGTTTGTCACATATCTGACATAAAAGAGCTTTACTTCTCAAAACAGTAAAACGCATGCTTTTTAGGCTGTTTTGTTGCCTTAAGTTCTGATTTATAATCTAGAAGCATCGTTCCAATTTCACTTGACATTTCTACGATTGAAATGTGTTTAAAATATTCATTGCACAATAAAAACCGGTTTTTCCCTTCCTTCCGGCTATTTGCTTCGAGCTCCCCTTAACTCGAACGGCTCCCGATACGATAACTCTTACCTTTTTCTAGTGTCCTTGAAGGTTCGAGTTATCGGGAGTCGTCTGTTACGTACTTAATCTCATAGCCTATGGCTATCACAAGAGTCTATTGTCTGTTATTTCTGCTCTTCCGTATAAACGCTCTTCAGCCTTTTTATTTTATTTTTTCGGCTGTAGTAAATTATTAAAAGTGTTCATCTTAATAAACTTAAAAGAACCAAAATAAAGATGCATATGTAGATACTCTCAGTCTCCTAACATACCCTAGCATGCGTAGAAGGTGTCTCTGCGGGAGTTCGTTGAGGAAGCGTTTTGTTTCGCTCTCGCTACCATACAACTTTCGTGCAGAAACTCGATCAGAAACGCTATGCTACGTTGACTATATACCCACATAAGCTAGCCGGACACCTGCATATCATGTTCAATGCCAATAAAGGAAACCAAACTGATAGACACCTAATTTGCCCCATGAAAACAGACCTTCAGTCAGTGCTTTGAAAAAAGGTACATAGTCTTTTCCATAAGTTACGTTCTTATTCCTGGTCCAATCATCTGACTCACCTCAGAATTATTGCTCCCTCGACCATCCAGTAAACTTGACAGTCTGGTAACAGCAATCTTTGCCCTGTACTGCCTATTTAACACAATTTAATTTTCATCTCGATGTTTTTCTTTTTTCTTTTTCGTGTAACCAAGGACATTTATTATCGTCTTCTGTAACCACGGAAATACGTTGCTCTTTTAAAAATCTAACACAATCGAAATTAAATTCTCTGACTCAATGAAAATTAATATTATAGCACTTGAAATGAGTAATGATTTACAGTGAGACTTTGTGTTTTTGCTGGTTTCAAAGGAAAGAACACGGAAAGACATAATCAGAGACAGCACTTCGTAAAAATATCCCTGTGAAAATTGCTTAACACCACTTTTTTAAACGTCACATGACTTAAGCATTGAATGAGTTGTTTTTGAGTCGCATTTTCAGCCACTCTCATGGTTACCTGAGTGTGGATTACCTGTCTCTACATACAAAGATCCAGAAGCACGGACAGCGGAATTACCTTAACTTTATAAATTTTTGAAAGCAGATTATGACAAATACAATAAGCGTTGCAATGTCAACTTCCTAATTTTGATTAAAAATAAAATGTCTCACAATGAGTAAATCTCACATTCATCAGTTCTCTTACAGTAACATTAACAAGTCTTCACCACTAACGTATCTGGGTCGTAACTTTTATTTTTTTTGTCTCTGAGAAATTTATCCTTTTTACATGGGCGATTCTTTTGCTCGAAAAACTGTTGCCATATGAAACAAGTAAATGGGGTATTGGTTTTCCGGTGCTATGGATGATTTTTCGCATTTTAATCGGCCATTTGCACGATGACGTCGTTTCACTCCTTGGACTAGAATCCTTCAGGGTTTTACTTTCTTGTGCAAATTAGGGCTTTTATTATTTAAACCTCGCAGGGATTTCCAAATTTAAATATGACAGGAAAAACGAAAAGCATTCTGGTCGTAGTATCAAAATGACGACATCGTGAAAACGGCCTATTCCGTGAACTAGAAGTTTCTGTGCTTTTCAATACATGCAAACCCTAAAAAAATAATTTAACAAACGGTAACGATTTTCGCTTCATCAGGAAAATTAGCACGATTATTTTTAATGAAGGATTTTAAGCGCTCCCCCCATTTCAAATTCTTCTCTTCAGAGTTTCATCCACGCACAGACTGTCAGGTCACATTACATCCACACGCCTAAAATACAACAATAGACTCGGAAAGAGGTCACACGCAGTACGGTAACAACCAGACTAAGCCAGATCGATAGCGTTTATTTAAATGGTCAAACGGTTGAAACCGCTGAAAAAGAACCTTTCAGATTATAAACAGTGCTAGTCTATTCAAAATGAGGAAATAAGTTAACTGGAATAGCTGACTTAAAAGTGGCTACAGGTCATACCATTTTAGGCAATGAGTTCAGTACTTGACAAACAGTCTTAGAATTGACCGAGATTTCAAAATAACTGCTTCAATATCGGCGGTATGGACAAGCAAAACTGATAAAGATTTAAAAGGGATGTATCCAACAGCGGATTGCTTTTACCACGTTTGCCGGTCTCAATATTTTTTATGCTCTAGATACATCCGTATTTGCTATTTAGCGATTATTTTGCTCCGTAAAGGCCTTTCTTTCATTTATTTGTAGTATACAGCTCGTCGCAAGCGAAAATAGGCAAAATCAACGGAAAAACCGAAATACACCACGCTTTTTTGAAATCGAGGTCATTCCATCCAAATTTACATTTTTGTCACAGGTTTGATACCAAGTATATAAAAGGCAGTCTCCATGACTCGGGCGGTTGCCTCCAGTAATAGCATTCGCCCCATGTCAACTTTGATCACCTCGCCTGTCTTACGATCCTTTTCTACACAGTAGCAGTTGTCATAGAACTCTGTCAGCGTGGTAGCCATCTCGTACATGAACTCACAAAGTGTGTGCATTAACAAATCATCGAGCACGCGCGACAGGATCTCTGGGAAGCGTATTATGCACTTTCCTAGTTTCCACTCTTTGGGGTGCTCCAGAGAGATTTCCGTGGTTCCTAAACACGATTCCAGGCTCTCGCGATCGATGTTGGCTGTGCGCATGATAGACCTGATCCGAGTGTAGGCATACAGCAAATACACTGCTGTGTTTCCTTTGTCGTCTAACATCTGAAGCATAAAACAAGCAAATAAACAAAACGTGAGAATATAACCAACTGATACAAGTCATAGCAGAATGTTTAAGGAATTGACCAAAGCAGTAAATACCATAATGTTATTGAATTCCTTTTTGGGTGGTACTTCATCTAAGCCCGACTTTTGCAAAAAGTTTTGTATTTGGACGGTTTTCACGTACATTGCACACACTACACATGCAGTTCGTGCAACAAAATAGAGGATAAAGCAAAAGTCACGGCATCACCTTTAAGGCATTTTTTGCTCTCGCAAATTAAATCCCGGATGTGACACGCGCTGAAAATTACTTTGCTCAAAACACAGATATACCAATCATAATCTGTTCCTGAAAGAAATGCACAAGGCGCGCCTACTGGTGTTTTCCGTGTTGTTTTTGAGCATCTATGGAGTTCTTCTAAACTATATCGATTTAACTTCCTCAATTGAACCCTTTAAAAGATTTTAAACAACCAAAGAAACAAGTCGCACTAGGCAATACCCAACAAAAACGCTAAAGGAACATAAGAAACAATACAACGGACTGGCTATATTTTTCTCGCGCCAAGTACATTCCGTGCACGCCAAAACACAGAAAGGGCCACGAAGTATAGTCTGTTTAAGGGTAGTTTAGACCTTGTTCATTTAAAGCGAAGGAGGGAAGGTGGGATACGATTCTCAAAACAAATACAGTCGAATCTCCTGTAAGCGACCACCCAAATTGCCAAGACTAAGTGGTCGCTTACGGGAGGTGGTCGTTTACAAGAATCGAACCACAAGGAGTTACTTCCGAGATGTCCGGACACATCTACTATATAGAAGATAATTTTTAGCATGCAGTATTGCAATATGTGTAGTTCCATGTTGTCACTAAAATTTCTTTTTCTTCTTTAAGTAGCATAGTACATACAGCGAACATAGAGATCGGACAATGCGTCAAGTGGTCACATACAAGAGATAAAAAACAATGAAAAAATTATTAAACCGTCAGCCCGAAAGTTAGTCTCGGTCGCTTACAAGACGTGGTCGTTTTCCACAGGTTCCAACTACAACCCTTTGACTGGGAAAATTTTGATGTTTTGAATAGGGGAGTAATAGGTGGTCGCTTATGGGAGGTAGTCGCACTTGGAGGTTCGACTGTATCCATATCAATTGTTTTTTTTCTTCCACCTTGATCTTACCTTATCAAAAGAAAACACATAGTCATTAACTCTGTTGTGAGACAGATCCGCGTACTTAATGCAGCCATAAGCCACAGACTCCTGAGCTGCCCTTAATTCCTCAGCACTCAGCACCTGAAAAAAATGTTTGTGAGAAAGTCAGAATACATGTAAACATGTAAACTCAGTTTAACTCAATAAACAAAATCGGTAATCTTTCGCTTCTTGTGATTTCGTCCATACCCCTAGCCCTACTTATTCCATCCCTTTTTCGCGTGCAGCAAAGGAGATAGGAGACGTTTGCGCGCAGGCTATTTCGCCCCAAGTCTCATAACGTTTCGCCCTGCCTTTTGTGTCGTTTCTCTTCATAAGGGTGCGTTTCTCGATGTAACCGATACTTTTCGGACGAATATTTACTTTACGTACGCAACATCTTAATTAGTTTTAATTTGTTTTAAGCAGGAAAAATTACTTTTGTAAGTAGACAAAACAAGTTGAGATGTCTAGTTAATTGTAGTCTTCACAAACGTACACCTGGCTTCACAAACAATGCAGTTGCTCGATGATTGTAACTCCTACAGTCTAAACAATGGAAATTAAAAAAAAAAACCTGGTCTCGCTGTTTTTCCTTCAACTTGTCTAGAGCCCTCTTGAGTCCCTCATCAAGAAGATCAACAAGGCGAATGGTATCACCTGATCTAGTCTTAAATTTCTTTCTGTGAATAAAAAAGATTATCTTTAAAATAAAAGTAGTGAAATAAGTTGGCTTTGTTAATTGTCAGTCAAACAAGTCTTTGACCTTGTTTAGGTTTAATCACACGGCTTTCTGAAGGAACATTTTACATTGATAAATCTTTCACGAATTCTGCTGCAGGAAGCTCACCCTATATGACCTAAATGCGGTTTCTGGCGCAGAGAGAAATGATGATGATGACAGGCACAAAAAATGAAACGAAGTCACGGTCTGACGGGACAATTTCATACAAGTCATTGTATTTTGTCAAACCAAGCCTCGAGTTGGAGCCTTTGTTCACGGGAAGGTGGGGGGAAGTCTTTTAGATGCCTTGTGCAATTGAAGTGTCTGACGATCACATGATGGTGAGGCTGACGATGATAACGAAGACGACGACGACGACGACGACGACGACGACGACGATGATGATAATGATGATGATCAGAAGGTGGCAATGATAATAACTACCACGATAATTTGACGTGTGCGGGTTGAGTTTGTTGTTGGTTCTCTCCCTTGCGCCGAAAAGTGTTTCTGCGGATAATCCGCTTTTTCCCTATCCTCAAAAACCAACGCTTCCAAACGCAAGGACACCTTTCGTGGGTAAACAAATGACAATTTACCATGTTTTCTTATAGAACACCAGTTTTACCAGTCCTCTTTAAACAACAGCCATTTGTGTCATTTACAACACGATGTCAACAGCTATGTCAACTCACTTGTCTTCTCCAAGAACCACTCCAAATCCAACATGATCAACACGCGTCACCTTGGGATCGTACCACTCGGCTTCTCTTGCACCTCCAAAGATGAGTTTAAAGTGATCACTCTGTAAGAGAGAGAACATTTATATGAAATGTGTAAGGATGAGATACATCAAGTACAGTTGTCGTTGTCCTCAGAAAAGCTAACTTGTCCTGGCGATAAATTTGGCACATCACATTATCTTCTGTACGTGCAAGTAAAACAAAACTTGTCTTGCTTGGTCGTCATCTGCCGAGCCTAAACGCCTAGCAGTTGCTGAAAAGCAAAATTCCAATCCATAACTGAATCACGCCTCTTAGCTTGTTATGCACGTTTTCCCGCGCTCATTTCCACGCACGCTGCAAGTTTTTCCGGCGCTCTGCACCAGTTGTATGCGTTTGCATTCAAACGCGTACGATTTCTTGCCTTATGATTTGCCCGTTTGTTGTTATAATTGTCCACTTTCTTACTTTCACCTTGTTATTTTTCAACTTTCAAAAAAACATTGCCTAACCTGTCCGGCATCCGTGACATAAACAAGCCACTCCCCGTTTTCTTGCTCAAGTCTCTGCTTTATAGCCGCAAGATCTGATGTGTCATAAGTAAAACCACCATCGGACTTGACGACAGTAAGCGGCACCTTCATCCCCTTGACAAACATAACTTTACGACCTTCCTCTTCTATAACTTTACCTGAAAGAAGAACGATAAATTTCGTACACACCCTAGAGACTTGATGTACATCAGCCAATGAATCAGTCAGTTGGCCGAATAGGCCATTTCTGAGTTCCCCCAGGCCTCTGTTTCAAAACGAGGGTAGGTGCTAAGCCTTTGATATGGAAATGATTTTTCATTCTCATTCAAATAAAACTCATTTTCACAAGAAAGGTTGTGCACCTAACCTCATTTTGAAAGTGAGGGTTTTTGGAACTTGGAAGTGGCCTATTAATGAAGCTATATATGATCAGGAACAAAACTTGCAGATGTAAAATTAGAGAGTTCTGAGGTCCATCTGCCGAAATTAGGGGAAAAAATCTATCGTGGGATTTCGAAGTTATTTACATTTTCAGTAAAAATGGGGTTTTAAATATGTGCCGATATCTCAAAAACATTTTATACCTACAAGAAAATAAACAACATTTTCTTAAAGTTCCATTATTCTTCATTAAGGATGCCAAAAATCATAGAAATCGGTTAAATTGTTCTAGCAGAAAAACGCGATTGACAAACATAACACGCTTATAAATACAGGGTTCGTACTCTTTTGAGCCCTTCAAATTCCATGACTTTTTCCATGACCTTTTCCAGTTTTCCAAACTATCCTTGTTTTAGGGTATTTTTACCTCACTCACTTCAACAGATAACACTTAAGTGTCCACCAACATGTGTGCCATTTTTAAAAGCTGATTAATTACGTCTTTTTGTCCTTGTTTTGGAGTGTGCTGCAGGGGCACGTTCCAGGAGCACAGCTCCTCCGTGTCTACCAACGATTACATGGGTATACTTCATCCTCGGGGACAGAATTTCCACCCAACCAAATGCTCCACGATATTTAACTGGTTAAATATTTGGGAGCAAGCTCCCGGGGCAAATTGAGCGAACTTGAAAACGCTCCCTCGGAGCAAAACCCCTCGTGTGTATCGGTCTTAACTGTTACTTGCCCAGAAAATCTACCTTTTTTCCAAGTATGTTTTGTTGTGGAGCATGACTGACCTTTTCTCTCCAGTTCTGCAACAATACCAGGCATCATGGGCTGATAGAATGATTCCCCTCGTTCTATCAGAGTCACATCCAGCCGATTATAAATTATGTCAAACTCTGAGAAAACAATAAAAAAATTAACTAAATTAATAACTAATTAATATCATAACTAATGTCATAACTAATGTCATAATTAATTAAATCAATTAGTTGACATCTGTTTCCTTTCAGATGTCACTTCAGGTGAGGGGAAGTATTTATCATTTCAAAGAAATTGCGGATCATTATACTGGGGTTTCAATAAAATTGAAGTAGCCTACAAGTTTGAATGGAGTAAACAACTGTATCAACAAGGGACCGTTCGTCCCTTTTTTTTAGGGGGGGAGGGGGACTGGACGCACTATGCCCCAGAAAATTTTGAAATTTTCAGTGTTCTGGGGACTAAATTTGAGGACAAAAGAGCGTGTTTTTCATTGAAGAAAATGTAGCTTTCAATTCATCAGTCACCCAATCAATTCCTACAAGCAATGAACACATGATTAATACTAAATTATGTACTTTTGCACGTAAACAAATTCTGCGTAAACCTATAAAGAAACTTGTGAAAAAACGACTGAAATATAGCATTCACATGACTAAAGCATAAGGTAAAACTAGTGGGCCGTTATGAAAACACATGATAATTACGTTTTCGTTCAGATTTTATGATATTTTTTTGTTTACAACATTATTCAAACTAGTTGCTTCTTCTTTCTAGAAAAAAGTAGCTGACCTCTATGAGCAAAGTAACCAAGGCCTTTTGTCGGCCGTCGGTGCTTATTGAAACCCCTGATTATACGTTTCTGGGAAACTGCCCACCTTCCCCTCCCCTAAGCCAACATTTCGCCTTAAGTGAGAAGCAAGTGTTAACGTTAACTTAGGGGAGGGGTAGGTGGGCAGTTTCCCAGAAATGTATAACGATTTGAAATTGCTTTATTAATTAAATTAGTCACCTTCAATTTTTATCACAAGGAAGACTGTAAGTGGAATACCTTTTCGAGAGACATCACAGATAAGATTCCAAGCTTTCCTGACATCAGAATTTCCTCCCTGTAACTCCACTACTTTTTCATATGCGACTTTTTTAAAAGCCTCGTCTTCATCAAATCGCTTTTTGGATTCCTATTCGAAGAACTAACATCTGTCAAGCACTAGATACACCCAACCCTCCTCAAAGCAGGCACTAGAACTAAAGACAGCAGGGACCAATTCTAGCTATCTGTTTAAAGGAGATGTCTACCTTATAGAGAGTCAAATTAAATGGCTGAAGAACAGCAGGGGCCTTATTCTGGGTACGATAATAGCAGGGGCCAACTGTAGATGTCCATTTTAGGGCGGTCTTTACATCTACTTTAAAGAAGGTCTAAGAAAATGAATGAAGAACGGCAGGGGCCAACTTTGCCTGCGTGCAGACGTCTCCTATTTCCTTTGTTGCACGCGGAAAAGGGACGTCTGCGTAACGCCGTCGCTAATCGTGTTCCAGCGTCCCGCTGGCAGGGTATTCTATTTCGCATAAATTGTGAAATAATATCCGGTTAGAAATAAGAGTTGACAGGCCAAACAAAACATCATAAGCTCATGAGACGGGCGAAACGTGACCTTGAGAGTCTGCTCGAACAGAGGTTTTTCTTCTTTTCTCTCTCGCGCGAAGATTACTAGCACTACACAGTGCATGTAGCATTCCAACCTTTGACTGAGTAAGTCTCATTTTTGCCGCGCTAAGTCTTCCATTTAGAGGTCATGAAGCAGGTTTGTTACATGCATACTGAGTAATCATTTCCTGTGGTTTATGCTTCTGTGGGTGTTCCCGATAGGATTTGATTTCAGATGCAGTAGTAACGTGTTTAAATTTTCTTGACCTCTGTTTGTTACGGCTAAGTAAAGATTTTAGTTTCTTTGGCTGCTTTCTCCGAAATGCCTGCCTGGTGCGAAGTCCATGCCGCTTTTGTAGTTTTCTCAGACACTGTTTACAAATATGATGTGATGTGTCATGCACAGTAAATTGTAAAGAAATAATTTCCTCGTACACGTTAAATTTTCCGCGTCCCCGCACAAGATTTCGATCACTCTGCTTTTCGATCGACGAAAAACACAGCACACAATCGCACATGTTTTGATTTGTTTTGGTTAGAAAACCCCGCTTACATAAATCATTTGAATCACCGCATACATTATCAGACCACATTCGATAACAACCAATCGGCGTTAAGTCAAACAATGCGCACTGTGTGTCGGCCTATCACAGCGTGTTCCCAAGATCTTGGGAACCCAGCAGGATGCTGGAACACGATTAGCGACGGCGTTACGCAGACGTCCCTTTTCCGCGTGCAACAAAGGAAATAGGAGACGTCTGCACGCAGGCAAGGGCCAACTCTAGTTGTCTGTTTTGGAAAAGGCCTACAGAGAGTCAAAGGACCTGACTGAAGAAAGGCAGGGTCAAACTCTAGATGTCCATTTCAGGGAGGTGTCCACCTTATAGAGAGTCAAAGAAATATGCTAAAGAATGGAAGGGACCAACTCAAGGTGTCCATTTTAGGCAGTTGTCGGCCTTACAGAGATTCACATAAAAATACTAAAGCATAGTACAGACCAACTCTAGGTGTCCATTTTAGGGAGGTGCCTGCCTTATAGAGAGTTGAAGAAAAATACTAAAGAGTGGTGGGAACCAACTCTAGCTGTCCATTTTAGGGGGGTGTCGGCCTTATAGAGATTCAAATAAAAAATTAATACTAAAGAATGGTAAGGACCAACTCTAGGCGTCCATTTCAGGGAGGTGCCTGCCAAATAGAGAGTCGAAGAAAAATAATAAAGAGTGGTGGGGACCAACTCTAGGTGTCCATTTTAGGGAGGTGTCTGCCTCATAGAGATTCAAATAAAAATACTAAAGCATGGTACAGTCCAACTCTGCGTGTCCATCAGGGAGGTGCCTGCCTTATAGAGAGTCAAAGAAAAATACTAAAGAGTGGTGGGAACCAACTCTAGGTGTCCATTTTAGGGGGGTGTCAGCCTTATAGAGAATCCAATAAAAATACTAAAGAATGGTACGGACCAACTCTAGGTGTCCATTTCAGGGAGGTGCCTGCCTTATAGAGAGTTGAAGAAAAATACTAAAGAGTGGTGGGGATCAACTCTAGGTGTCCATTTTAGGGGGGTGTCCATCTCTCAGAGGTGTCACAAAGAGAGAATCAGCGTATGCTTTAATTTTCATGTCCAAAGACATCATTTAAAAGAGTTCAACTAGCAGCAGCTCATAGAAGGAATTTGTACCTTATAAAAAGCTTGCAAGTCAGCTATTGGTGGTGAAACTTGTAGATAGTTTGGAAATTTATCCTGCAGATGAGCAATGAGCATGCCAAACTGAGTTCCCCAGTCTCCAATGTGGTTAATACTGAAAGGAAATATCAAATTAAATCAATGCTTATCACAATCTCCACTTCTGAGAAAGCAGATGTTATCAAAATTTATGTAAAGAAAAATAAATAAAATAAGAATTTTGCAAGGGTATAATTTTATGTTAGTATCTAACAGGTCAAATTCGATTACAGGTTAAAATTTCTTAACCTAGGTTGATTCTCAATTTCTTTTGTCTCCTAGCCCTAGAAGACAAATTGAGAATCAAAGCAACCTACTGGTAGGTTAAAAAATTTTATCTGAAACAGGGCTGTGCTCTAGCAGATCCCGCTGGCCCCTGGCACTTTACATTTGCTCATGGGTGACTTGGAAATCTCAGTTTTCTCAAAGAAATCATATGCTGGGCACCCTAGATTTCATAGGTTTGGAGCATTGGACTTCCTTGAATTTTTCCTAGAGCTCAGAGCCTTGTGAAATCAAATTTGACCTGTAACATATACAACATTATTTTGACATAATTATAATCACCTGCACAAAACATGAATGAGTGAATAACTAAACATGTCAAAGTCAGAATCTAGCATAGGGGAAACCATTGAGGACATGTAATAAATTTAAATACAGTAAAATACATAACAATTAACATTCTTCAAAGTTTTATGTAGTTTTAAGACAACACAGCTTGAATCTCACCGCAAAACATCATGACCAACAAATTCTAGAAGCCGGCAAAGGCTCTCCCCGATAATGGTGGACCTAAGATGACCCACATGCATTTCCTTAGCAATGTTAGGTGAAGAAAAGTCAACAACACATCTTCTTTTCATGGGGACAGCAGGAGGCTGGACTCCATTAGTTAGGATGTCTTTAAGCATTGACGACACATAGTTGTGGCTAAGATTAATATTGATAAATCCAGCCCCAGAAACTTCAACCTAGACAAACAGAAATAGGCCAATCATATTAGTTACTTAACCATTTTACCCCCGGAAATGTATTAAGTCAAATTTAGACATAATTTCAGACTTTATTTTGCAAAAAACCGAAAAAAAAGTACGATGTGAAAGTGCTACTGGAGAGGTTTCACTTGAATGGTCACACTGCAGAATTAATTCATCAGCCTTCTCAAAAGTGAGAAATTCCTACTAAAAAAATAGTACTGTGTGAAAGTATTGGCAAAGAGGTTGCATTTGAATGTCACACTGAAGGATTTTGTCTACAGACTCAAAAGTAAGAGCCACTATACAAGCCATCATCATTCACTCTTAGAGTGGAAAGGTTAAAAAGCCTCATTCCAAAGAGAAGTCTAACCTGGGGAAAGAACAATATTGGGTACAGGCATAGGTGTCGGCTCAAGGAAGGTTTCTGCCAGCAGAAAGCTGTGATTGTATTCATTCAGTTTTGGCTGCATGAATTATTTTTCCTTGCAAAACATCACGGGATCAAAATACTTGCCTTCACCTCAAACAATGGAATTGGCAACTAATGTTATTAATACACTATGCTGACCAACCTTTTGCACCAAATCATTCTGTGGCACATTGGCTAGAATTGATGTAGCAATTTGGCGAGGATTACTCTTGACTCCCTTTCCTTTCAGTATCTGATAACAGCAAAGAAACTAAAAATGTTAGTACTTGACACCGACAGGAAATGGCCTAACTTGGCTTTTGCATGGCTTCATCTTGATTTCAGCGGGGATGGGCTTAGCTGTCCTATTTTATTCCGTCCAAGATTATAGTTATGAAAAACTGGGAGGGAATTTAACCCAGTCTGAAAGAGACAAGTTTTGAATGAACAATGACAAAGACTTTTCTTAAAAATGTTAGTACGTGACACCGGCGGGAAATGGCCAAACTTGGCCTTTGCATGGCTTGATTTCAGCGGGGTTGAGGCTTAGCTGTTCCATTTTATTCCGTCCAAGATTATAGTTATGGAAAACTGGCAAGGGATTTAACCCAGTCTGAAAGAGACAAGTTTTGAATGAATAATAACAAAGACTTCTCTTGTTAACCTTAAAACATCATGATTAAGAAAAAAAGGCAATTCCAAAGAAATATGAAGAAAGTCCATGCCGTATAGTATTAGAGAACTTGAAAAGCATTTTTATCAACTGTAACACACTGATATAATCAGACTTGATGCACCTGGTTAATAACCATAGCACTGTTGCACTGGTAGTCTCCAAACCTATCACCCTGAGATGGTTGTACAACCACTGGAGCATCTGGCAAATCAGGAAATGTTGCTGTAATTGCCTTCCTGAATAGCTCATTCAGTGTGAATTGACAGTTGGTCATGACACTTTGGGCATTTGCTTTCTCCTCTTTGATGCTCTGAAAATTTGTGAAAAGAAAAGTAAGATTCCTCTTTGTTGTAACTCAGAGATATAAGCCTCAGGCACACCTGAAAGAGCCAAAGCCGAAACATGCAAGTTCTGTGGCACCTGCCTTCCCCTCTTCCTCCAGGTCGACTACGAGTCTATCTCCCGCAGGGTTATATGCTCCTTTCCTGAGAATTTTCTTGCCAGTACCGACGTAACAGGTTATGAGAAAGGGCATGATCTAATGTAAACTCAGTACTAAAAAGAACACCATATGATAGTTCTCACTTCAACGACAGAATGAGGTAAGAGGTGGAAGGGGCAGGGTGCATGAGGTGTGGAAATGCGTCCCTCAGCACCTCCCCTCATCCCATTACAAGCCCCTACCCGAATGATGCCAACTCTCCCGCTTTTGGCGGGAGACTTACACTTTTTTGCCTCGTCTCCCGCTCTCCCACTTTGGTACATAAATGTCCCACTTTTTACGTCCACTGTAAATATTGAATACTTAGTAAAAAATAAAACAGACTTAGTTTGAGATTTAGCCCATATTTAGCTCAAAACTTGAATTTTTCTTACTCGCATACGGTTTCTGGGGGTATTTTTGCACTTATTCAGTCATTGACAAAGATTATTTCTAGCATCAAAACAATAATGTCGAATTTTGATAGTATGTATATCATGTAAGACTTCATATAATGTCCTAAGTCATTCCCATTGGAGGCTGGGTCAATTCTTCGGGGGGGTCTGTTGAAATTCCGGGGGGGATGAAAAAAAAGACAGTGTCCCAATTTTAGGTCTTCAGAGGTTGGCATCTCTGCTACCCCATACAGAAAACTACATCATCTTACACGTTTGAGGGTCTCCACTTGGTATTTAAGCTTGCTGTTCTCGGTGAGCAGCTTGTCCAAATCTGGGTTAAAGGAACTTTCGCTTTCTCCGGCTTCCTGTTCTGCATCAGAAGCAATTTGATCTTGCAATAATTTAATCTTTCTTTTTAAACTCACAATTTCATCCTCCTACAAGAAATCAGAAAATCACCCTTACAGCTTAGGCAGTTCTGAATAAACTTTTAAAGGAATTTAGAAACTTACGGCTATTTTAGCCCGTTTTGAATACTCCTCGACAAGACCACTACCGTCCGCCATTTTGTTGTTTGTACCACGTGGATGCTGTGACACGCAAAACTCTCTGATTTGTGAAAAACTTGGACTTGAGGAAAAGGAACCTGAAATCACTCGAAAAGCTTTCTTAGAACAACAGGAAAACAAATTTCGAGAAACACCCCAGAAATTCATTCACCGAAAAAAAAACAACACATTGCGTTTTTCTTTTTCCTCAAGACCTGCTGGCCTGGCTACCTGGGCTAACGGGCGGTTACCAAGGCTAAAAACAAAATGGCGGTCTGTTGGCCCTTTACTCCTTTTCGTCTTTGTCTAAATCAGTGAAACAAAAGACTTTTGAAACAACAAAACCTTGATCATTCCAAATAACTGAAGAGAATGGGGACGCTGGATGAAGCGCAGATAGGAATTTCGACATTTTTTCCATCTCCTCACCCTTCTGGCCTGTGTGGCACGAACGGTTTGCCCCTGACTCCAAATTCCATCGTGATCCTGGGTCGATTTCAAGTCCTGAAGAATCTTTATCACGAAAACGTCTGTCAGTACCTGGATATTGTCAGGGTAAAAAATGGTGAGTAAGTTTAACAACCCAACAATACAAGAATGTCCTCCGAAAAGCTGCACAGAGCTTCCTAAGGTTAGCGGCAGACAATAAAACTATGTTAAGATTTCCGTAAAGCCCCGTAAATCTATTATGCATGCAGCAATCTCATACTATTCCAAACAAATGGATTGTAGGAATTTAAGTCGAAACATGTATACATAACAAATGTATAGGGCTTAGTGGAAATCGTACCACACTTCCTTGGGGCCGGGGGTTGGGTGGGGGGGGGCGGTGGGGGGGGGTGTTAGGGTAGGCGGAGGGGGGGTAGGCGTTTCGACTGATTAGTGTACAAAGAGATTAGTTCTTCAATAGATCAGATTTCTAAAAAAATCTGGAACCATGGAAGAAACATTAATATTCTGGCTTTTTTCTTGTTATTTTCCCTTTTTTTACAGAAAGGCTCATTGTTGGAGAAGAGTTCTATTCCAATAACTTGAAGACAGCAGTGAAAGGTGGCAAAATTTTTAAGTAAGTGATTCTAAACAAGTTGGGGGAGGGGACAGGGGTGTGGGAGCCCAGGAGAATAGGGGGCACGAGAGGCAGGAGAAGAATGGGCAGGGGTGGGAGTTCTAAAAGGTGGGAATTTTTGAGAAATAGTCAGAAATTATGCCACAATGCTTGATATTTTGCAATCAAAAAGGTCTGAAAAGAGGAAGCCAAGAAAAAAGGGTTGGTAACCGAGATTGCAAGGTAAATGGGAGGACTCCCTGTCCCCCCATAAGAGCTCCCTTAAACTAATATGGTAAGTTCTAAAGTTTCTACCATAAGTAATATTTCTTTGTCAAATCAGTCTTTTCTTTCTTACCATATTCTTTATTATTTTTCAGTTGGAGTGATGTCAGACATATAGCTTTTGAAATACTGCATGGACTATCTTTCTTAAATGCACAAGGAATTGTCCACAGGAATTTGTCTCCAGTAACCATCTCTCTTTCACCTAAGGTACTTCTCATAAGCATGCAATTGTGTCTTGTTTAATCAGTTTCATTTGATTGTCTGAAAATACATCGTAAGTAGGGTTCATGTAGCAAAGTTGACGTTACTTTTTCATCATATTACAGGGTCAGGTGAAGTTGTCCAAAAGTGGCCTGTATTATATGACTGGTTTTGGGGAACATGTTGCATTTCCAATAGGGTGAGCTCTAGAGAATGTTGAAGTTGCCTCAATTTAGAGCACTGTCCCTAGCAGAAACACCAGCTTTTGTAAAGGTGTCTGGCTCAAAGATTGAAAATGACTTGAAAGATTTTCCTTATGGTTTGACAAGCTTCTTTCTTTTTTACCGGTGCTGGTTTCACAACTGAAGGTTTTGGATTGTGTTAATTATTTTTATTAGTCATTGCTGAGTACTGGTTAGCTCAAATCACCACCCCTCAGGGTGTTTAAATTTAACTAAGGTAAAGGAGATGGTGCTGCCTTTGTTTTGCATCTGCAAATGGTTAGAACTTAAAGTCTTTTATTTATAGATAAGGATGAAAAACTATAGGTCCCTCCTCACAGCATTCCCACTAGGGACAAAACAATCTCTGGCAGTGACCTTGTCTATCGTCTACCTCAAGTCAACACTTATAAAATAATATTATTATTGGTATCCACCTCTGTTGTGTTGGCGTTACCATACCAGTGTCAGTAGTCCAAGTGTTCTAACTAATACCCTGGTATCAAGTTATGTATTTTCTGGCTTTATCTAAACATCAATTTCTTATCCAGCTTTCCTGAATTCATGGCCCCAGAAGTCATTTTGTCTGGCCAAGGACGTTCTCCATTATTTGGGCCATCAGGACCAAAGGTGAAAATAAATTAAAGTAACTATGAATAATATAATACTAATGCTTCTTTGATTTGAATTCTTTTGTATCTGAAGTTGAGTTGTTCTGCACTGATGATCAGGGTAAATAAAGTGATAACATCACACTTACTGAAGATGTTCAATCTGTCAGTAGTGAGTATTGCGTGACTAAAATGCCTCTAGTCAAATGTCAGTTTAGAATGTTTTAGTATTTCAGACCAAATTGGTGCACTGGTGACAATCATTTTGGCCAGTACATCTCCAAAAAGCAAACCAAGCGTATTGACCATCTGACAAATCATATATTTGCTCGTGTACTGCTCTGGTAATTTATCTATTAATTTTTTGTCTTAAAATTGTTTTAGGTTGATGTATGGTCTGTAGGAATGATTCTTGTCTATTTGCTTTTGGTAAGAATTTGAAAAAATTCATTACTACAGTCGAACCCCACTTTATGGACACCCACTTAGTACAGACACCTCATTATAACAGACGGGTTTCTTTGTCCCTGGGGAAACTCCATACATTTTCTCTAAAAATTCAACTGGCTTAATACCAACACCCATTAATGTGGACAACAGACAATTGTTCCTTGGCCAATGAACAGATTCATATAGAAAGTTAACCCTGTTAATAATGGGGACAATTCATTAACAACTCCATGTTGTAACAAACCTTTCATTCTTGAATGTAACTAAATCTTCTGTTGACAGCATGTCAGTGTTCCCAGCGCTTCAGTAAATTGAATGCGATGATTTGAAGACGTCAATTTCAGGCTATTATCAGGCATCAAACTAATTATGCAGAGAAGGGTTTTGTAGTATATAGATGAGCAATTGTTTGAGTGTTTCCTTGGATCTAGTCCATGGAATGACAACTTAATTGTGAAATTCAGAGATGTTTTATTTTTAAGGTTATGTCCTCCAACCCCTCTACTATTTTCTTGAGTATTTTTTTTAGTAATAGAAGGTGTTTTTGATTTAATAACATGAACCCACTAATACAGACACCCAGTTTACACGACACTTCCTATAGCCCCTTCAGCGTCCGTATTATTAATAGGGTTTGACTTTATAAATGGTAGTGATTATTAAACATGTCATGTTAGTGATTAAACATGTTCTGATCTTTACAGGGGGGATCACTTTGGGAAAATTTGACCAATAGTGGTGATGTTGAAAAGATTTTCTCCAAGATCCTCTCTCTTGTAAAGACTGCACAAGGTATGTTTAAGGTATCCCAGAAAATAAGGGAATTCTTCAAAGACCAGGGAACTAAATAGGAGCCTCCTCAGGGGTACATAGTGCTCAAGGCAGTAGGGGCCTGAACAGGGGCCACCCAAGGAAACAACAAAGAGAGGCAGGAAAATGGCGTAGTACAGAAGCATTAGACTTGAGAGGGAGTACTTAATGAGGGAATTCCAGTGGGTACAGCACAGTGAGGCAGGAAAAAACTGAAGCTCAGTGTAGGCCAAAAACTAGGGGATGGGCTGGTAAATCTCACAAATTCGAGCATCTCTTAGGTTGTTTACCATTACACGGGCAAATGGGCAAAAACTGTTCAGAGTGATGTAATGGTTTTCTTCTATTTCCGTTTTTCTCTTTACTAGTGTTAGTATTAGTCTGTGAACTGTGTACTTTCCAACCGTATTTTCACAAGACATTTTGTAAATGGTAAACAACCTTGGTTGGATTTAATGCCTCACATTTGTCATGGGGTAATTCCGGGATGGATCTAACTAAAGAGAGCCCCTGTGAAAGTTAATATTAAAACCAGTTCAATATATATTATGGGACATATAAGTTAATAACAATTAACCTGTTTTTGTCTTCTACATTTCAGATTCCTCTTCTGATATTCTTGAACTTCTTATGAATGATCATCAAGCATCGGGGAAAATAGAAGTATATTTTTAATTTTTTTTTTACTTGTTCTTTTTAACTTCTTTTTAATGTCTCCCATGTCAGTTGTTTTTATCTTTATTCACACGCACAATAAATTATTATCGTACTGCTTCTCTCTTCATCTTGCAGGAAATTCCTGCAGACTTGGCTTCATTCTTGAGGATTTGTTTGACTTCTGATGCCACAAAACGGTAAGGACTGGAGTTCAGATTGTTATCCTTTTATTTCTGAAATAATGAATATATGAATTTCAATGACTGTAAAGATGATCAGCGCAGTTGAAGAAGAATCCCAGCAAGCCTGAATTTAATGTTCAGGCTCTCTTTTCACAGCTGTGTAGTTGTGTCTTCAACTGGGATAATAATATTTACATTTATTCCTTTTAATTTTGTTACTGATTGCAATGGATTTGCTTCTTTCTCAGCCCTACTCCAATAGAATTACTACAGCATGAGACCTTTTGTGGTTTCAACAAAGGAAAGGTAAATATTCATTAGTAATTTTAAAGTATGCAATAATATATTTTTTGTTCTATGTTTATCACTGAATAGTATTTAAAGGTGCATATTATGTTACAGGTCAAAATTAAATCCAGGTTAAAATTTTTTAACCTAGGTTGATTCTCAATTTCCTTTGTCTCCTAGCCTTAGTTATTCACAACCTGAATTTAATCTTGACCTGTAACCTGTACACCATTGTCTTAACACTACCTAACATAGGGTACGCTTTGTTCATAATTCACTATACTTTATTTTGTTGGGCAGATAAAACTTTCTAGTGGCTCCCAGAAATTCCCTCCTGTGTTTAACATTCAAGATATAGAAGTTGGCGATTACCTAAACATTGATTTTACCCCAGGTAGGTAACTTATCTGAGTGAGCACAAATATCTGAACATTCCACTCACCGATATAGATTTGTGCCTGAATGTTTTATTGTTCGTACTTTGCTTACTAGTTCCCAGATTTACTGAATGACTACAAACCACTTTTTTACCATAGCATCAATTAACTCATTATATGCATCATTCTTTCATCATCTTTACAGATGGCGACGAAGAAGATGATCTTCTATCTGAAAGGTTTACCAAATCATGTTTCAGTTTTATATTAATTAGATAAAATGATTTGAAAGCCCTTGCTGTCCCTAAGTGACTGGACTGGTTATCCAATTCAATGTAGCTTTTTTTTACTGCAAAATAAAGTTATTTCAAATAAAAATTGAGAATATTAAGCGATTTAGACCTCAAAGGTTACAGTCATAACTTAACATAAACTCACTCAAAAGATGGTGTTAAGTTAAAATCAGAGTGGGTTTATCTTTAAAATAAATAGAGCTAGTTCAGCTGAATGTTACTACCCTATTGTAGACTGAACTCCCCAAATCCCCCTATCCTAGAGTAGCTGTTTTCCAGAAATTACTGAGGTCACTAGCACAGTCCAGCCAAGCCAACACCCATTTGATTTTTTTTTTATCTTTGAGTGGCAATTCCCGGTTTTTCTAGTTTAGACTTATTCAAGACCCTAAACTGTCCGATTTATATACCCTATTCCAGAGTAAACTGCTTGAAAACCATACCCTTCACAGCAACCCGTACCTATATAACCCATATATGGCAGCAACCCCCCCTTCCGACCCCCGGGGTATTTTCTCGTTTTCTTCCTGGCCATCCTATGTAACGCAATCCAGTTCCAGACTCAAGGAAATTTTTGCCTGTGGAATCTGGGATCGGGGAAATCATTTCTTGTGCAATCTGGAATCCTGGACTTTGGTATCCAGAATCCAGCTCAAGGAAACCGAAATTCATAGCGTAGAATCCACCCAGCTGTTCAAAAGGTGGATAGTGCTATTCACTGGATAAATCACTAGTCACTGAATAGCACAGTTGGTCTTCCTAACACTTATCCACTGGATAGTTATTTATCTGTTGGATAGCACTATCGAACGTTTGAACAACAGGGTCAAGAATCCAAGACTCCCTTAATTGGGAGCAGTACAGCAAGCGAAATACGCGAGCACGCTTGAAAGTCGCTGCCCTTGAGGGAGGTGGATCGCGGAGGAAAAATAAAATTTTCGCAGGTGGCAGTTACTCGGCTGTGTGTTGTGAACCCTGTGCACTTGGATGGGATTCCTGTTCTTTTGATGTTTTTTCTGTCACTCTCTCCAGGCCCCTGCAGGAGGTCTATCATCTGTGGACACTGGCCGGTGGAGATATGGAAGGAGAATTAAAGAAACGTGGACTCATCAAAACGAAACCACCGATCATGACCCTTCCAATGTATGTATCATGTTGGTTTTGCTCTTAGAAATGTTTTCGTGGTAGGCAAATTTGATAATAACTTACAGAATATTTAAATAAGGTTCTGTGACCTTTGTCAAAAATTAAACAGTGTCCTCATTTTTCGTGCAACTCACAGATGCTTAGTCATTTAGCCACGGACTCGTTATGCTTTAGACATTTTTGCCTGGCAGTGTGAAAATCGGAAATTTAATCGCCGTCGTTTGATCGCCGTCCGTCATTCCCAGTACAGTATTTTGGCCGCGAAGCGCCACCAAATCCTTCTCTTAAACTTCACCTCGGCGATTATTCAGACTCGCTCAATTTATCAACTATAGGCGAACTTTCCTTTAGTCAAATAACTTGCAGCCAACAAGTTTAGAAAGAGAAAGAAAAATTCTTCTTCTTGCCTTTTAATCATCAGAGAAAAAAGAAATGAACGTTAAAGAGCAAAGCAAGTGCAGAGTTGTTGTTTTGCTTATTTAAAAACCTATGACATTTTCGTTACCTTCGCGTTCATCGCTGCTTAAAGGGAGCTTTTTCAACCCGGACGACGACGGCGACGGCGACGGCAGTGAAGGACCGTATCCAACTTTAGAAAAGAAAACGAAAATTGATGTCGTTTGTTTTTGTCGTCCATAAAACATGAAATTAGGAAATTTCATGTCGTAACAGTACAGTGATAGCAAAGAGATGCCGTACAAAAAGTGCGATGCACGAACAGAGTTGAAACCAATATTTTGCCTTTTTTACATTCTCTGCACTTTTAGTATCCTCCTGCAAAATGGCGAGGAGATTGGAATGAAGAAAGACCGTCTGTTCTTGTTAGATGAAACAGTGGTTCCAGCTTCACTTACTCAGCTAAGAGAGGTAACATCAACTACACAGATCGTCGTTTTCCACTTTAAAATTTTCACCTTTTCGCTAGTAAAAGAATATCTACTTAGTTTCAAGTTTCAACTTGTTTCCTTGAGTATTTAAAAGATGACAATCTGAATAGAATGTGGGGTATCCATTCTAGTCACAGAAAAAAAAACTACAATCCGACAACCTCAAGACGGCCAGTAGGCGGGCCATTTTCTTAAACTGACTCCTTACAATGCCCCTGGAGAGACTACTCATGTTCCTGACTTTGTTACTGCTTGACTATTCAATTCTGCGGGATGATTCACTGTATGTATTTTCCTTAATCTTTGAATCTTATTTTTAATTTGTTGCCTTTTTGTTTTTCAGAGATTAAAAAACGTGGATCCATCTGCGTATTTTCCACTTATTGAAGAAGAAGAGTAGGTTGTCTTTACTAAATTCTCTGTCTCTTTCAGTTTTTAATTTCAAGATTTCACGAAAGTTCTAGTGAAATGCGTGACTATCCAACTTAAACTTTACAGAAAACAAGCAATAGCTGTGTCTGGACATTACCATCACTGATAGTCTTGTATTATCGTTATCATTATTTATTTCATTTTATTTATTTATCTTAATTTTTACTTTTATTTTTGTTTTGTCAGTCCATCGTCTAGATATGCTCTGCTAGACACAGCTGATCTTCCTCTGACAATCCGAGAGACAACAGTTGACTACCAGGTAAATTTTTGACCGGATGCACAACCGTTTTATCACTAGCCTACACTTTTAACACTGAGAATGTTTCATTGGCTTAAACAAAGTGTTTGCATTTTTAGTTTCACAGAATCGTACTTTTTCAAAGACTGCTAGACGTAAGTATTAAACAGAATATCATATACATCTCATGTCGGTAGGAACTCAATGCTTTATTTAACCATTGAAAGGGTCTCACTTTTAATTGAAGAGAAGTTTCAACTCATTCCGTAAAGGTTACAGTTTTGTAAACAGAAAGACCTTCAATTAGCTCGCGCGTATGACCTCCAGCCGAACTTAGTTTTGTAGATCGGTAGGTCTAGCTGTTGGGAACTTCTTGTCACCTACCGCCTGATTACCCTCCCTCTCAATATACAATTTGAACATTGGTAGTCTGCGCGCAAGCCCTCTGGGGAATCTCTAGGGGCGGGAGACTGACTCACCCGTCCCCAGAGCTCCTCAGAGAGCTTGCTCGCAGGTTAGCTCGCAGGCGAGAACGTGGGTAGCTTGAGGCCTGGGATGGTGTCCCTTATATTAATATACAATTCGGTCGTGATTGAACTTTCTTGAGCCACTAGCTATGCGAGTAGTGAAATTCTCAAAAACTACAGTATTTAATACTTATAGGGTTATCCGTACACAAGAGACCGCATTGTGAGAGAGGCAAGGATAGACATCCCTCCATTACTCAGAGGAAAGATCTGGGCAGCGCTGTTGGGAGTGAAGGTAGGAGCAGCGCAGGCCGCTTATGATAATTTTGCGCTCCTTGATTTCGCGATGTTTGCCTTTTTAACTGAATCGCGTCATTGAAAAGTAGACGGCGAGAAAATTAGGCACGCGAGATTTCATTTATAACACCATACAGTGTAAGAAACAATTATTATATTTGAAAGTTAGGTAGCTTAACTGGTTTGTAGCTCAGGGCCGAGTTGTTCAAAGCTGGGTCAAGATAACCCAAGGTTAGTGCGAGATTTGAATTAAGATTTTAAAGTTTAAAAAGCATTTCACTTTTAATTCTTGTTGTCTACAAGTTGATGATTGAAAGCTCTTAAAATAACAGTGAAAATTATCCGAGAATATGCTTTTGAACACAAGGAAAGGAAACCAGGGTTAAATGTAACCCCGGGTTAAGGTCTAATCGGCCTTCGAACAACTGGGCCCCGCGGTACTTTAAGTATCCAGTTCACAGAGTGTCTGGAGCTTACAATGGTATTCTATTTTGACTGGTGTTTCTTGTCTTTTTAAAGTTTTTTTCCTCTCAAAACTGGATGTCTTCTTTTTTTGTTCAGTTTGTATGATTTGTAAAAATTTTCTTTATGCGAAACAAGGCCGGCAGGTCAAGGGTTAGGAGATTAGCATAATGGTAAATCTGTGACATTAAAACACACCCTTTTGGTCTCATTCCCAGAATTTTAGAACCTTGCGCATGTTTTCTGATACTTGTCTCACTAGTCTCACTGTTGTGCCGTTATTTTTCATCAGGGTGATATTCAAAGCACTTACGATGCCATAGATAAAGAATCCTTTACTCAAACAGACAGACAGGTGAGGAGCAACTTCCATCGATTTATTCATTGCTATTGTTTTCACTTGTGGAGGAGTTCCAAAATGGGGAAATTGACTGACGAAAAGAACGGTTATACGACGCCTTTGTTTTCTAATAACCAACGTTCTGCTGGCTCTTCTTTTTTTAAGATTGAGGTGGATATTCCTCGTTGTCATCAGTATGACGCCCTTCTGTCGTCTCCTACTGCTCATTACAAGTTTAAGCGGGTTCTCAAGGCTTGGGTCGTGTCACACACCAACTTAGTTTACTGGCAAGGTAATTTATGCTCTTGTTTCTAAAGCACCATAGAAAAGGAATGGAAATGTGGAGTTATAATAATATAAATGATGATATTATCTCCATAACCATAGTTATTATCCGTGTTAATTTCGTTGATTTTCTCATTCATCATCATCATCATCATCATATCATCACCATCATCATCATCATCATCATCATCATCATCACTGACAGCGTCATCGTCATTATCTTGTCATTATCATCGTCGTCGTCGCTAACCTGAGATCAGGCTCTATTTCGTTTCGCTTTGTAAATAGCATTCCGGCGGGCGAGGCGAAACGAAATTTTTAGCGGTAGCCGTTAGAGAGAATGTATCAGAACCGCTAAAATTGGGCCTGATCTCAGGTTACGTCGTCGCCATCATTATCGCCATTTTCATCATCATCTTTATTTTTGTTGTCTTCTTGCTCATCACCATCATTACAAACACCATCATCATCATCATTATCCTGCGAGCAGGGGGTGTATAAAACAAACCAACTATGCGACTTACTAGCGACGCGAACGACTTCGTGAACGCTAAAAAAAAGCCGTGCAAGAGGGAAATCTCTGTTCGCAGGGTACACCATCTTTTCAGTCTTCATTTTATTCATCATCAGTATCATCCATTGTCACTATCGTATTCATCATCGCCTTCATCACTCTCACCCTCGTCGTCACTATCATGTTCATTGCCATTGTCATTTTTATTATCCTCATGGAATTTGCAGAGGATATGTGTTAAAAGTTTTACATCGCTAAAGGAATTTTTTTTGCTTTATTTTAGGTCTGGATTCTCTTTGCGCTCCTTTTCTTTCGTTAAATTTCAATGATGAAGGTGAGAACTACAACTTACGATCAAAGGAATGCACAGCCACATCATTTTATGGAAAACCAATGAATCTTATTCTTCCCTACAGCACTTGCTTACGCCTGTTTAGCGGCATTTATCCCCAAGTATCTGCACAACTTCTTTCAAAAGGATAATTCGGCAATCATACAAGGTACGTTTTCGGTATGTTTACAATACAATATGTTTCTTTGTGTTCAAGGTGCACAGTTTCTGGCTTAGTTTATTGTTTACCCGAAAATATTGCGCGCAATTCTGAGGCCCAGTCGACGCGGCAGGCGGGGAGTAGGGGGTGGTGGGGGGTCGGTTTGATGTTCGCGGTTGTGGTTTGAGTAATAGTATCCCTATAAGCCGGGTAATTCACAAACGTGGCCGCGGTCGCTTACAGTTTCATTACAGAACTGAAGTTAAAGTTCAAACGGGGTTGTCGCGATTGAAAGTGGTCATAGGGAGGGGGTGAACTATAGTATGCGTCTTTGTTATAATCACTGTACGCTTATTGTTGTCTTAATATTTCCAAATACAGAATATTTAGCGGTGTTTTCTCAGTTGATCGCTTTTCATGATCCTGAATTGTTTAATCACCTCCACGAAACTGGATTTATTCCTGAGGTACGTTGTCCTTTTCAATTCTTCAACTTGAGGTGTACCCTAGGTACCAGAGATTTTTTCTCGCGGGCGGCGGGATGCTTCGGTGTCGGCCGCAGGCCGACTCATCTTCGGCCGAAGGCCGACGACACGCGGGTCACTCTTGAGATTTAAATGAAACCGGAAACCGCGCATGAAAAGTCTCTGGCTCCCAGGGTACTCGGAGTGTTTTCACTTTTGTCATTATTAACGGCAGTTGGATGCTGTTGTAATACCCTGCTGTTAATTTTTGCATCATGTTGTTGCTTCAACAGTTGTATGCAATTCCTTGGTTCCTGACGATGTTCTGTCGTAAGTATATTTATGTCATGATCAAATTAATCGACTTTGTCTTGTTGCTTTAATTCATTTTACTCCTTTTCAAAGTTTCTGGTAAATTGGAAATTCTGTTTGTACCATGGTAAGTACCCTAACCCTGATCGTACCTATGAGTTATTTGTTTTCAGAGCTTAATAAAGACCGGTCGTTTCACCAACAGGTTGTTTCGCCAACATCGTGTCAGCCAACCGCTTAAGTCGTCTTACGGTAACGTCCTGTCCGCCAACGTCTTAAGTCGTTTCGCTAACGTGTTAGGTCAAACAAGACTTGGTGCTTGATTTGCACAAAATGTTCAGACAGCACCGAATACGTTAGCGAAACGAATTTTAAGACGTTGGCGAAAAGGACGTTAACGAAACGAATCGTTGGCGAAACGTCGGTAAACCAAAATTAGTGTAAGTAACAGCGATCCTCGTCCTCTCACCGAAAAGAAGGTTCAAAAGTCTTACGAAAACACTTACCCGGTTTTTTCTTTTTTTTTTTGGTAATTTATGTTTCTTTTGGTCCTTTCATCTACAGAGCAATGGGTAGTTCAGGACCAGGTTTTTCAAAGCACGGTTAAGTTAACCCAGGTTTGGTGCGAAATTTGACTTCAGATATGAAAGCTTGAAAAGCAAATTCAGTTTTATTCTTTTTGCCTACAATTTGATGATTGGATGCTCTATAAAGAAGAGAGAAAATTATTCGAGAAAATGATTTTGAACAAAGGAAAAAGAAGCCCGGGTTAGAATTTAGCCCTGGGTTAGCGCTAATCGGCCTTCGAACAAATGGGCTCAGAAGGTTAGCACCAAGGTAAAGAAATTCTCCGCATTTTTCTTTTCCTTTGCAGACGTGTTTCCTCTGAAGAAGATTTATCACTTATGGGACACACTGTTGCTAGGCAACCCATCTTACCCACTGTGCATTGGGGTCGCCATACTGGAACAGTTGCGAGATCAGCTTCTGTCATTTGGATTCAATGAATGCATTTTACTCTTCTCAGATATGCCTGGTAGGGTAGCAGTGTAGTTTCCCCTATTTTATTTGCCGTGGGATTTTCTAACATAAGAAGTGAAAGCTACAGGGCTGGTAGATACAGCGAAAAATATTTCAAGAGCTGAGGTTTAAGTCGTGTTCTATTGGGGTCGACCGTTTGAACAACACTGGTTTTGGCTGATTTAGTTAAAGTTCCCAAAAGAAAACTTTTCCAACCGTTTTTGGTTGAGATCGTGCGTGGTTGTGACGGGGTATTGTCATTTCCAGACTTCCTCGACTGCCAGCGTTGTTTGTTGACAAGCATTCGCGAAAGTCGCGAAAAAATGACGCAATACCTGAAAGTCAATGCCTGTTGCTATTTGTCCAAGATAAAAAAACCTTATTTAAGTCCACGAAATGAAAGCCCTTTTGCTATTTTTGTTTTGATTAGCGAGAAAAAGGCTGCGGCTGCATTTACTGTCCATTCCGGAGCACTGTTCAAAGGTACACCTTCTGAACGAGACCAGCCCTGAAAAGTAGTTTAAAAAAAACTTGAAAAAATTACTTAACAGTGACTTATTTTTCGAGGCTGGGCGCTTATTACAACAACAAAACAATAAATGCTAATCGATGATAGAATTTTTTTTTTATTCAAAGTTTGTAGGGGTGATGATTATTTGAGTTTGATGGGAGGAGGGTTGTTCGAGGCTGGGCGCTTAAACCAAGAAGAGGTCTTCTTATTCGAATAAATACGGTATTTTAACAACAATCGATGATAGAATTTTTTTTCTTTCAATTTGTAGTTGTTGATATGGAGCGGGTTGTTCGTGAAGCCAAGAAGATCTTCTGTAACACGCCTCGCTCGGCCTCCATGAGGCGACATGACAGACAGTATGCAGATCCTAAAGCAAAACATGTAAGACAACAATATATTGACAGAGCAGGCAAGATTATTGAAAAGTTAAGGCCTGTTTAAGTAAGTTTGGTCGCGGCTCTCCTGTAGCTAGAAACCAGTTGCAGTCCATGCGCGAGTGCTTCAAAGCAAACAATGCAGAATATTGTAATGGTAACACACCAAGAGAGAAAAATGTCCTAATATTCTTTCTGTACAACACTGAATAAAAGTTTGGGAACCTTTCTGGAAACCAACTTTCGATTAATTTCAAGCGTTTAACTGGTCTAAAAATAACTTAGGTAAAATTCACATATCCTAAGGGCTTCACTCTCTGCCCCATTGTTCTTCTCTTTTGAGTCTACATATATGGTCGTAGCGGGAGAGAACGCGAGAAGAAGTGGGTGGGGGGGGATTGGGAGATTAAGGAGAGGAATTACTCCCCCTCTCTCTTCTTTTGTTCTCATTCTTCTCCCTCCCATTCGCACTCACTCTGTAAAACCCTTTTCATGAACACGGCGAAGGGAAGCTTCCCTCTCCAAATTTTTAGGTATACGGACTTAAACAATATTACTACCTTGATTTATGACAGTTATAGGGACACTTAATCATGAAAAAATAGTCATTTACTCAAAACAAGGTAAAAATGTTACATTAATACTTTTTCTAGGCAACTGACAGAGACGTTTTTCTAATGATTCTGTTTAAGGAAAAGGAGTTTATCCCGTTACCGCAGCTCAAGACAGAAATCTGTCCTCGCATTTCCACGCAAGACTTGTTACATGTCTGTGAACTAACAAATGGTAACGCAGGACCCAAAGGACAAAAGAAAACCAAACCTCGCGGGCTTGTGATGGATGTGAGGCTATCAGACGAGTATCCTTTCATACGCTCACCTTTTACAACTGTTGGTAATACGACTACTAGATTTGATTGAAAGTTTTTTCGCGTATAGTCAAAAATAGACACACCGGAATTCTCCATTGTACTTTTTTCACCAGAAAAGTTAGCAATGTTATCGGTTTTGAAGGAGGTTAAGACCTCTCTCGATTGCAAAATGCTAAAACTTTTAACATTTGGTGATTTGTTCTCACCACTACGACATTCTCGCTAAAACTCGTAGTAGAATGACGACGGCTATCACGTTTTCCCGCCAAAATGGCGTTGGTTCACGAAAGAGTACTACTTAGTATTGAAAAAATGTCGTACTCGTAGTCGATCTCGTCTTAAAACCTAAAACTCTCTAACGCAAAACTGGTTGCGAATTTCAGTATTGTTTCAGTTTCCCTTGTTGGAGCTTTTCGTTGCAATTTTAAACAAAGGGCTTGCATTCACTGAACATTTTTTCCTTTCATTGTAATTACTGTGAATTGGAGCTTCTCACCGAATCTATACGTCATCGCAGCGGCCAAATGCGTTTCCATTGAAATGTTTTATCGCTAGAAAAATTATGAATGGCTCTAGCTATTTCGTTAAACTGAGCTTTTTGTGCTGATTCTGGGATGAAAAGAAGGAAGGTGTTCCTCCTGAATTTCAAGTCATTTTTATTTTTTGTTTTCTTTTGTTTTGTTTCTTTCCGTTGTCGTTGGTTTTTTTTCGCATACTCGGAATCCTTTCAGGATTATCTTGCATTGTAATTGCACCACAAGCGTCTCGTTATTAAGTATCTCAACTCATACGCAATATTGTAATATTTCTAAGGATTTTATCCTTACCATTATATTCCTTGATTCATTTGTTCAATGGAAAGGTTCTCATGTGGCCAGGTAGCTGACAGTGTAAACATCCCTTACAACCAAGCTTTCCTTGAAGAAGGTGGATTGGCGCCCTCAAACGCTGCCAATGTTGTAAACAGCTTCAAAGGAAGAGTTATTGTTGTTGTAGGAAATCGTGCAAACTATCCAGCCAAGGTTTGTCTGTCATCATGGGTTAATTCGCTTCGCAAAACAAAAACTTTGCAAGTGCAGTACGGTTTTTGGTACATTTCTTTGCCATCACTGCACAACTACGACGTGAAAATGCCTAATCTGCGATTTTCACGTTCCCCACAATGCAATTTGTTTTCCCCACAAAATTTTGCATAAGAACTGTTTTCAATTTCTCTTGGGACTGGGTCTAATGATCGTCCCTTGAAAAATTGAAAACAATTCTTATTAAGCAAAATTTTGTGGGGAAAACAAATTGCATTATGGGGAACGTGAAAGCCGCAGATTGCACGTTTTGTGTTGGACATGAACACAAGACAACGACTTTCTTTTCCTTTTCCCGAACTTTTAAACAGACTTTTAGAATTCGACTCCAGAAAAATTCGCCAACATTTGACGAATTGAATGAGATGGAATAAGCGCGAAAAAGTTTGAAGCAGCGCGATTACATTTTTTAAGTGACGTTTTCGTAGCCGTGGCCGTCGTTGTTGCTTAAATTCCCTATTAGCTGACCGATTCCAGAAAGAATAGGCCATTTTTGAGTTGCCTCAAGCCTCTGTTTCAAAGCGAGGCTAAGTGCGAAGCCATTGACGTCAAAATAGAGAGGTTAGAGGGACTAAGATTCACGTTTACGCCAAACGGCAAACGTCAGATTCAAGTTGAGAATTTCTCAGAATAGAAAATAAGCAGATAAAAACTGTCCAGAAGTATTCTTATGTATAAAACTGGAGTGAAACTACTTATTTTTTTAGTTGAAGTAATAAACAGTTAACAACAATTAAGGGGAAAACTTTGCCACGTGGTGCAAATTCACGTATGCCGTTTAGCGTAAACGTGAATCTTAATCTCTCTGTTAACGTGATCAAGTTTCCCCTTTACCTGTCGTTTAGTGTTCATTATTTCTACACATAAATTAGTAGTTTCACGTAATATTGTATCCGTAAGAATTGTTGTGAGCTGTTTTTATCCTCTAATTTTCTATTTTGAGAAATTCTAAAATTGAATGTGACGTTTGCCGTTTGCCGTTTGCCGTATACGTGAAGGTTAAACCCTCTAATGATTTTTATTCTCATTCAAATAAAACTCAATTTCAGGCAAGAAAAGTTTTGCACTGCGTCTCGTTTCGAGAGTGAGAGTTTTTGGAACATTGCGGGACACTTCTCGGCTCCAGGTTCCTTCTTGTTTCTAAAGTGGCCAATTTTTGCTTTTGTTCAGATATCTGTGGGCGTAAACCCAAAATATATTGGGGTATTTGTGCAGAAAACTAAACTTTGTATCATAAGTGTGGAAATTCTCCCTATTTTTTTCATTCTTATGCTTGCAACACCAATTCTGTTTCGGTTTTTTAATAGTATGCCTGGTTAATTAACATTATAAAGTATTCATTTTTTGTGGCAGGTTGGAGCAGAACTTGTTAAGCTCGGATTTCCCAAAGTCTGTGTGTTAGAAGAAACAGGACTTAGTACGCTGCGTACACAAGGATACCTCACTGTTCCTACGTGATATTAGAATCAGTAAGAGTGTCCCCAATCAAAACTTTGTGCGAGAGCCTGGGATTTTCGCTTCTGAACACTTGCTATTGCTAAGCAATAATGACCATGTTCCGTTAAAAACTAATGGTGTTGAGGAACACATATAAAATAGGTGTCCAAAACAAACTAAAAAAAAGTGGATCCGTTGGACAAACATTTCACAATTTACAGCGAGTCTTTGAAACGTCTATAGAAAAATGTCGTCGCTGTTCTCTTCTTCCGTTGTAAAAAAAAAATAGTAGATAGTTACATTGTTAGACTTAGATTATGAACATGACACGTATTTACAATGAAGCTGTGTATAGAAATAATCAAATGATGATGATGATAATGAAATATTAAAAATCGAAAAAAAAACACGAAATAACATAATTAGCGTGTGTTATTAGCGGCTGTTTGTAAATAAAATGATGTATAGCCTGAACATAGCAGGCGCTTGGAAGTAATGGGCGTAAGAAAGAACGGGACGCGCAATAGCCTCCCACGCAGTCGTTTTTTAGGGATTCGTCACGCGTTCCTACAGGAACGCGTGACTAACCCTTGAGAACGTCTGCCTGGGAGGCTATTGCGCGTCCGGGGGGACACACGCGAGGGGAGAGTGAACCTCTTCCCTCGCGTGTCTGCCTTGTGCGCTCTGTTCTTTCTTGCTTCCAAACGCCTGCCATGCAGGCTAAGTGATGTAAAAGGAGGGTTAACGTAGGGAAACTTGGATCTGCAGAGCGGAGCATGAGTTAAAGGAGAGAAAGATTTGAATCTTCCTGTTTGGTTTTGATGCTACAGCCAGTGCTCGTCTCACACTATAGGTCATGAGCACGTCTAAAAGAAACACCACTACAGTCCCCTATTTCGAAACTATAGCCGCCATGGGCAAATACCACGCCTGGTCTCGCTCCTACCGTTTTATCTATCTCAGGCCACACACAACATAGTTGCAATGTACGCATGTAAAAATTACACTTTTATTAACATTGCAATTGTATTTTAAATTGGTGCGAATGTCTTACATAGTATTACCTAAGCATTTTTTCACCCACCAGCCCTTCCCCGACCCAACCCCACCCTACCCTAACCCACCCCTCTTCCTTTCATGCAAGCTTACACGACCAGTAAATCAAAATCGCGTGGTCACTGAGCCCAAGCAACCAGGCGTACATAACTACAGCGAAAAAGGAAGAAATTTTGTGGGAGACAGAATAATTCCCTTTCTCTTAAAGCTTAATCAGCTGGCTCAGTGTTACGATGAGAGGTTTTAACTGTACTTAGAAAACGTTTGGTGAAATTTACCAAAGCTACAAGAGACAATGCCGGTGAGTTTTTACCGTACATCACATCGAACAACCTGGCCGGCCTTTTCGTTTCGAGCTTTTTAGCTTTATATCGATCGTTAAGCATGTTTGCATTTTAACTCACTTGACAGGTGGACACTGACTCGGACAATGTTCGTGTCGTTGTACGATGTCGGCCCATGAATGAAAAAGAAGTGGCTAGTTCCTGTAATTTGGCTGTTAATGTCGACGAAAGTCGAGGAATAATTACCGTGAAAAATCCGAGTGCTCGCACCGGGGAACCGCCAAAACAGTTCACTTACGACAGAGTGTTTGGTGTTGATGCAAAGCAAGTAGATATATACAACGATGCAGCCAGACCAATTGTCAATTGTGTGCTAGAGGGTTACAATGGTAAGACTACTTTAGCTAGTGGAATGTGTGCTAGTGGTATGAGAACCAATATTGCCTTTTCCACTGGGTAGAGACTTATCCCGTGGATAGTGCTATCCAGCGTTGGAGTAGCCTGCATAGCAAGTGTTTCAGTGCAGTTTTGGAGCAAAGAAGGGGCGAGAAAGAGCAAGGTGGGGGTGGGGAAGAAAGGAAGGAAATGCTTGTAGACAAAACCTAGGATTTTGAAAACTGCCCACTAATGGCCTGTCATGCCTGAGTGCACACACTGACATTTGATGCTGTCATCAGCTGTCATACACTGTATATTGACCAGTAAAATGTTTGGCATTCCATAGAGGGAAAGTAAACTTTTTTGGTACTTGTGGAACCAAAACAAAGTTTCTCAACTTGTCAAATTATTTCAGAAGCAATGCGCGGGTGGCAGGAATGGAGAAATCTCAATGAATCCAAATTATCAATGTAGGCTTTGTAATTGCAGCTTCAAAGTGAATTTTGTTATTAAATATATGCCAAACAAGCTATATTACTACAGAAAATCTTTTTAGTTCGTCAAAAAGGAAGGAATTCAACAGTGAAGTTTTAGCTCAAAACATCCAGAAAGTTGAATTATTTGAGGTGGTAAAATAAGACAAGTATTCAAGTCTAGAATTTTGGATCTGTGAGTTGGGTCCAAGGTCAAAGGTCAGCTAGACAGAACGGCTATTGTTCTTGCCACGGCACAGGTATTAAGGCTGTGATTGACATGTTTGGAATACTGACCAATCAGGATTTGAACATTCATCTGGTGGTGTAGGCATTCCCTTCCCTCCTTCCTCACATGCCCTGCACGCTTCTCACATGCCCCAGTTTCCCTTTCCCTTCCCTTTCAAATGCCTACCACACAGGCTAGGTTAATACATGTGATGGAAGTTCAGCACCAAATCCATGTATATAATTATGCAAGCTGTAGACAAGTACGGTGTATTCCTCATAATGTGATTCTAGCCAGCTAGTGAGTAAAACATACATTGTGAATAAACCCTTTCCAAATCCCCTCCTAGAGGTATATCTTGGTGGTTTAGGCTATGAAGTCTCACAGAGAGTTGTTGTAAGGGGATGCATAATGGTGTGAGCAGGGCAGAAAAATCCCATCTGGTAGTCCAGACAAGAAGATTTTCTTGCTGGACAAGCGGCTCTTGGCAAGCAACATACATAAATAAATAAATAATGCCTTTATTTAACGAGGGAGACACTAAATAGCCCAGGGCTAATAAACTTGTGGCCCTCAAAACATGTTAGAGCTGCTTGCCTGAGGGATAAGCTGGAATTCAAGTTTTTCCCAGCTCTGGTGAGAGTTGTTGTTTTTACTCTCGATTTTGCCAGGAACAATTTTTGCATATGGACAAACAGGAACAGGCAAAACATTTACCATGGAAGGAGTGCGGACAGTTCCAGAACTGCGAGGAATTATCCCAAACTCTTTTGCACACATATTTGGGCACATTGCAAAGATGGATGGCGACATAAGGTACCTAGTATTCTGCATTTATCATCATGGTCATCATTCATTTTCATTTGTCAATTTACTGTAGTTAGAGTGATTACTGAAAATAATAATTGTTGCGTGCAATTAATTTTTAGCATCATCTAATTATTAGATGATGCTAACATTGCACACAACAGCACCTTTAAGCCTTTCCCTGTATTCCTATAAACAAAGGAACCAAAGCAAGGTTTGGGGTGACATTTTAATAAAGTGATTTGTTTGAAATTGTTACCTTGAGCCTTGACCTTTGTTTTCTCACTGGAGTAGAAAATGAGGCTGGAAATGTCTATGTTATGGCTTGGAACAATGATGCTGTCGATGAAAGATAACCTTTTTCATACTTTGTGGTGTTTCCCCCTGATGTGTTACCACCAACCCTAACATGCGTGGCATGGCTATGTTGACAGCACTTGCACAGCTCTAGGTCAGTTGTCAGAACCTCACTTTACAAACAGAGGTTTCTTTCTGGTATGGCTTTTAGCATTTATGAAGTCATTTGCATTGCACCTCTGTGGCATACAGTGTACATGTAGTTGGTTTCTCTCATCACATAATCAAACCAACTACGCAACTGACAAGTGATGCAAACAACTTTGTAAATGCTAAAAGCCATGCCAGAAAGAAACCACTGCTCGCAGGGTATATGCAAAGTGAGAGGTCACAGATCAAATCCCAACTGAGGAAGAGCTTACTGCCTTTGTATATCTTGCAAATGGCTAGATCTTCGTGTCATATTACTTGTATATAATCATATTAAACCACATACCAATGGTGGTCCAAGGAGTGTTGAACAAAATGTTCAGCCTTTATATACATCTGTGAAATCTTTGGGCCATTTACGTAAACAGAGCTCAGCCAGTGTTCAACAAAACCGCACTCTAAGCCATCTTACTTTACCCAATGCTCTATGTAAACAGCATTAATTTTGTTGTGAACATTTTCATGATAGCACATGGCGTAGACTAGAAAAGCACATATCTTCTTAAAATAACCCACTAAGTAAGAGATCTGGGGGTTCAAAGATTTGCTAAACCATGGTCTAAGTTAGACTTCATTTAAATAACTGACCTTGAGTTTTTCAGTTAGTACAGAGTTTTGGATTATGGTTAGTATCATTTTCTACTCTATCTCTTTGTGGTTTCTTACTTTTTTTTAACTGTTTACTGCTTTTGTTAATTTTTGTTAGGTTTCTTGTCAGAGTGTCGTATTTAGAGATCTACAATGAAGATGTCCGTGACCTGCTTGGCAAGGATCAGAATGCTAAACTTGAGGTTTGTGAAGTCAAGAAATACATTGTAGCAGGCTGTGTTATACTGTACCAGCTGGGTTTTAAAGTGCCAGTGGAAAAAATAAGGAAATTAATTGCTGCTCTTATTTCAGTTCCATGGTTTCCCTTTATTAAAAACTATGTTGGAACTACTATACGTTTTTTCGTTTTGTTGATTGAAAATTATTTTTTATCATTTATGTTTAGGTAAAGGAGAGACCAGACATTGGTGTTTATGTGAAAGATTTGTCATCATATGTTATGAATAATGCTGATGATTTAGACAAGACAATGACACTGGGAAACAAAAATCGTGAGTTTACTGATCTCTTTACTACTTGTATTTGATTTACGAAGACTCTGAGTTAAAAAATGACAAAAAATTAATAGATCAAGAAAAAATTTGTAACTATACTGGTGTGCAAATTAAACCTCCATTTGCACTGCTACTTGAAACTCATATAAAGTTCTGTTTGATTATAGGTTCTGTTGGATCTACAAACATGAATGAGAGATCGTCACGATCTCATGCTATTTTTTCCATCACAGTTGAGTGCAGTGAGAAGGGTCCTGATGGCCAACATCATGTCAGAATGGGTAAACTACATCTGGTTGATTTGGCTGTAAGTTATTATAATGTCTCCTGTGCTACATGTATCTGATGCTGGTTGGTATCACTTTCATCAAACGCAAGATGACCAAAATTGTCTCTAAATTGTATTTGTACTACAGGGGTTTCAATAAAAATTGAAGTAGCCAGCAGATTTGAATAGAGTAACCGACTGTATCAACAGTCCACATTTTCAAGTGGTGTCTTTGGGCGTGCTCCCTCAAAAAATTGTAACATTTCAAAGCCCTAGTAAGCAATTTCCATGTTTTAGGGGACTAAACTGAGTATAAAAGAGGGAGTTTTCTATTTAAGAAGATTTGGGTTTTAGTCAAAGTTTGATTTATTAGCCGCACAATTAATTCCTGCAAGCAATGAACAAATGACAATAATTATACTATAAGTTACATACATTTCCGCACGAACAAATTCTATTTTTGCCCATGACATTATTCAAACTATTTGCTTCTTCTTCGGGGGAAAAAGTAGTCAACTTCTTTGAGCAATGTAGCCGACGCATTGCGTCGGTCGTCGGTGCTTATTGAAACCCCTGTTACTAAGTTTGTGAGGGGTATATCCACTCAGATATCCAGGAAACTGTTTTTAAAAGTATACAGGTCCACAGCGTTTGCAGTGACAGCACTCCCTCACTCATGTAGCCCCTTTGGACCCCCCACCAAATCCACATAAGTTGTAATCCTTTGGAACAGAGACAAAGCTGCCAGTACCATTTGTCCATTTGCTTGTAAACGATATTTTATTCATTAGCGTAAGATAATAATCACATCAGTGAAACACATACAGATTTTCATGCCATTTATTGCAAGTACATAATTATGTTTGTTGAGAGAGAAATCTTACCTGTCATCATAAATTTCAAACCATGTGAGAATGTCATTATTCCTCTTTCTGCTTTTCCATTGGAACATATAATTTTTTTTATATTTATTATTGCAAAATCTTTGCAAATTTTGGCCTTTTTATCCTGCCCTCCTTTCCTTGTTTGATTCCTGCTGACAGAGGTAGCTACACACGTAAATGGCCAAAAGATAATAGTGCAGTTGGAATTATGCCTGCAGTTTTGTTTCTCTGTCAATCTTGTTTGCAACAGGGATCAGAAAGACAAGCCAAGACCGGAGCTACAGGTCAAAGGTTGAAGGAAGCAACCAAAATCAACCTGTCTCTCTCCACCCTGGGGAATGTTATCTCTGCATTGGTAGATGGCAAAAGTACTCACATACCATACAGGAACTCTAAACTGACACGGTTACTGCAAGACTCGCTTGGCGGTAATTCCAAGACTGTCATGGTATGTGTGGCTGATTATATGGTTTTGCTGTTTGTTTAATATATTTATTTTGAAACAATGCACTTGAACATTGTTTCTTCAATGGCTGGTGTTTGATTTTCTTTGAATGCCTAACTTATTAGTATTTTTTTCTACTGTGCTAAGTTTGAGGCACAGAGATCAAAAGTGGGATTGAAAATTTGTTTTGTCACTTCTCTAGATTGCCAACATTGGCCCAGCTGACTACAATTTCGATGAAACAATAAGTACCCTGAGGTGAGTTAAGTGATGTGTAGATTTGTCAGAATCACGTCTTTATGAAAACCTAAATAAAAGATTGCCTGTACACTGCAAACAATAGTGATGCTCAGCTGTAAGTTCCATTTTTTGGTCATGGTACAAGAGCCATCAATTATTGATAGTATTAGTTAGTAAGTTAGTACAGAAAAGTCCCTACAAAATGTCTGGGAATAGCTTTGGGAACTAACTTAAAAGTTCCAGTAATGAAGTTTATCACCATAGTTATGAAGAAATATTAAAATGTAAATAGGATCCTCTAGATCTGTGGGAAGAAGAAAAATATAAAAGTTGCTCAAAAGTGGCAACACCCTGTTTCTCTTAATTCTTGTTCGTTCCTCCTTTTTGCCATTGAGAAATTTCAGTCTTCACACTAAAACTGAATGATGTAGTTTTTGTATCTATTGTGTAGATATGCCAATCGTGCAAAGAATATAAAGAACAAGGCAAAGATCAATGAAGATCCAAAGGATGCCCTGCTGAGAGAATTCCAAAAAGAAATTGAAAAACTCAGGGCTCAGCTGGCTGAAGGTGCATTGAATAATACCTTGTTTCTGTCATCCTCCTCATACTAATTGCATTGACAAGGGGAAAAAGGAGGTCTTGTTTGCTTGAACTGTCACCTATTATAGGATGATTTAAATAAGGGAGATGGAGTAACTTTATGACAAGGAGGGGTAGAATGACGGTAAGAAAGTGGCCTTAACTATTAAAAGTTACCATGGAGGGTGTGGGGAACACTTTTAAAGAACTGATAAGTAAATGAGGAAGAACATTCTCTTTCCCAGTTCAGTTTAAATGAGCCAGCAGCCAGCAATTTTGTCACTTCAAGTGGAATATTCTCTACCTACTCAACACTTACAGTTGTGACATTACTAATAATAAATAAAAACCACACAAAGATAACCCTCCAAGTTATTGTGACCATTTTGGTTGCCATGGCACCTAAAATTTTGGAGCTGGTGACTTGATTTGTAAAAAAGTCTCCCTAAACCAAAAGAGTTGGTTGTCAAATGGCAACCAAGCAAAAACTTTAACTTGGAGGGTTGACTTTTTGGCTTTTGTTGCCTGCTGTGCTGGTCATCCTGTCTACTATTGTAAAACATTTTGGTTGGGCAGCTTCCTTTACTCAAACAAGAAATGTCTCAGACAAGTCTCACATCGTGAATATGACCCAGCAGCTATAAAGGCCCTGTAAACCAGGGTAAAATTCTGATAAGCGACATGGCCTTGAATTTCAGACTAGGGACATACGCACCCAGCTAAGAGGGCCTTGTTATTTAGAGGCTTCTTTTACATTACATTCTCTGGAAGTTAATGTCTGGTGATTCTGTTATCAGAGGGTGAGGGAAGTGGTACTGGAGAAAGTGAATCTGAGGAAGAGGTGGTAGAAGGAGGAGTCACAGTCAAAAGGAAGAAGAAGCACCGTAGAAAAAGTAAGTTGTAGTGAAACTGAAATTGTATTTGACATTTCAAAAGTAGGTCATTTGGACAATGGTGGCTTTTTACTGATGTCTAATACCACAATCTATTTCAGGTTTTTCCCTTCATTATGAAATTTGGTATTGTCCCAGGTACAATTAAAAAAAAGAAAGTAACACTCTGAAGGATTCTACTAGTAGTAGTTGAATGACGTCATCATGCAAATGGCCCATTGCTTTGCAAAAGATGGCAAATATATTGATTTTATAACTTACATACATGACTGTATTGCTTCCAGAGTTAGAGGGGTTATACATTTACAGTCAGCTAGAGAAATAATGTTTAACTATATGTTTACAGTTCAATGAACCTTGTCATATGGACTCATGAAATGATAATCATTATGCTTAAAGGAGTTGACAGAGAATAGAACTAAACTGCACTCTCACTTAAACAGTGACTTCTCATCAGAATTTATCCTTTATGGAACCAGTTTTGTAGGGCGTTTCCTTACAAAACCAGGGCATGTGATAAAACATAAATTTCAGCTGATTGTCCTTGCATTTGAGACAAGGATCATTCCAATTTTGCTGCTCCTGTAAATGTAAGTTGGCTTTGATATGTAAAGATGGCTGGCCTGGGTCTTTAACAATCGGGCGCCTAAGTAAGCCTTAAAAGCTGCTTGCACAACAAGGAAGTCTACCTGCTGTCAGGGATGACCAAACTGGACTTTTTCTATTCCTGCTAAAGGTATGAACTTTTTTCCTTCAGGCATGCATGCTCTCCCACCGGAGAAAGTAGCTGAGTTGAGAGCAAAGATAGAAGCTGAACGAGAGCAGTTAAAACAGAAGACAGATATGGCAGAGGAAGAGAGAAACAAGGCTGCTGATGAGTTGGAAAAAAGAGAACAAGACATCAAGGAATCTGAGTAGGAATCAATTCATTATAATGTTGCCTTATCAAGACATAAAACAAAAACCAAGTGTTTAATGCAGTTTTCAATAAATATTGCTCATAGTCATTGTAGTAAAATTGCAATGGCCGTTTTTATGCTAGAGACGTTAAAGTTGTCTTAAGACAACATTAATGTGTATAAAAAAGGTTGATAACTAAGACAGACGCATAAGTTTTAACATCTGACAACATTAACGTCCCTTGTTAAGTGTGTCGGAACAACACACTTAACAGATGACTTTAACATCTCAAACATTAAATGCATATAGTATAGAGAAGAGACGATGTAAACTGGGACACATTTATGCCTAACTTGTTGAGAAATGATTGGAAAGAGTCAGAATTGTGTATTTTTTACAGAAAAATTTACAAATTTACTTGGAAACTAAAGGAAAAAATCTTCTTTTGCTTAGTTTTACTAAGACTGCTGTGGTTCTTACTCTTATTTAGAAAGGAACACCAAAAACTCCAAGAGAAACTCAAGGCTGTGGAAAGCAAGATAATTGTTGGAGGAGAAAACTTGGTTTGTATCTTATAGTTTTTGTATGTTTGTTTGGTCTTTTTATTGTTGTTTTGTGTGTGTGGTTTCATCTCTGGCAACAATTTTGAATATTTTAGTACTGAAGACTGGTAGATGTTTTAATTACTGTCAGTAGTAACTAATGTTAGTTACTGTGTCTGTGGAAAGTCAAAATTTAATCTTTAACAGCCAGTGGATGCAGCATTTGAAACATAATTTGTATTAAGTTTGAGTACAAGGGGTTTTGGCTACACGTTCTCTCCTTGTTAGATCTCTGAAATTGAAAGGTTAATGAAATCTCTGACATCTCCCTGCATTTTCTTCTCATGTATGTGTTTCTAACTAGTTGGTACTTTTAGACAAAACTTACTAAACATTTCAATTTTCCCACAACTGCTTGTTAAGAGCACAGGCCACCCTTCCATTCGTACTTGGGAAGGTACTTTTGTAAGTTTAGCAGAGCCACATGATTACAGTAAGAGTCTGCAACTTTCAATATTTAAACTACATACATGTATTCTTACTTTGTGACTGCATTTTCTTGCCTGAAACAGTTGGAAAAAGCTGAAAAACAAGCACTATTGTTAGAGCAATCTGCTAAAGAACTCTCTGAGAGGCAAGAAAGGGAGAAACAACTGCAAAAGCTTATTGAGGAGAAAGAGGTATAAAGTGTGAAAATTTATCATTAACAATGAATATTACAACATGTACATCTATTTGCGACTGCTGTTTTTAAGTGATAGTATGGGCTAGAAGTATATATCTTTTATAAACAAATGCAGTTAATCCTCTCAACTTGATACGCCTCAGAAAGAGGTTGGAATACTGACTGGTTTAAGAACCTCAATATAGCTGAAAAAGATACATTTGGAAAGGGTCTGTAAGTGGTTATCAGTCTGTGGTGTTTTGATTTGGATACAAAAAATCACAGGAGAAGTGAACTACATAGTGTCATTATTAGTCAAATACATTGTGTAATAGTGGACATTAATTACTGGTTTCTCTTTCTTGCAGCAAGAGAGGATTGACATAGAAGAGAAGTATGCCAATCTGCAGGAAGAAGCTGCAGGGAAAACTAAGAAGCTTAAAAAAGTCTGGAGCATGCTCATGAGTGCCAAGTCAGAGGTGAGTGAGTCAGGGAAAGTACAACTTGTTCAGCAGTGAACAATTATTTCTTTCAGAACTTGGGAAGGGGGATGGGGGCGCTTTAGGAAAGTTTGGGTAAGGGTTTTTCACTGAGGCCTTCAAACCCTATTGGAACAAAGTCTATTCATTTTGCTACCCTGTTTTCTGATAACTTAAAAATTATTGTTTTCTATTAAATACATGTATCTTCAAATTGTCTGAAAGCACGCCGATATTTTCTGTAGCCATTTAATTGCATTGTTTTGAAAATCACATTAGATGGCAGACCAACAGCAAGAGCACCAGCGTGAGACAGAAGGGCTGTTAGATAGCATCAGAGAGCTGCGTAAAGAACTGCAATTGCAAACTTTGCTGATTGAGAGCTTCATTCCTCCTGAATTTCAGGTAATATAATCCATTTTGTTTGTTTCCATAATAATTTGATGTTATCTTCATATTCTCTAGATTAACAATCATCAATTTTAAAAAATATTGCAGTTAAACCTCCAAGTCTTTTAGATAGTGATAGTATGCAGATTGTAATGTGATTTGGGGGTGTGGGTTGTAAAATAATTACCTATTGAAATCTAGTTTTAGATTGGTTGTGTTTAATATTATTATATACTATAAATTGGTTATCAGATCTCTTGATATGAAAAAAAAAGTGAGCCTAGGACTGGTTGATAAAGACTTAATTCATGATCAGTGAGCTCCAAAATTTGCTGCTCAGGTCAGTTTCTTGGATGTGCTGGGTTTGTTAATTGGTTCTATGAGCCCTTAATTGGCTCCCCCCTGGTTAGCCTGCAGAACGGGTGCTTTTTGTGTGTCTCTTTTGGGCAAATGGATCACGTTTGCCTTGGCTCTCCTAAAAAACATGAAAAATAATGCATGTTCTGCTGGCTACCTCGTCCTGGTTTCTTTTTGTGGGGGAGGGCGGAGGTTCCTCAGGACTAGTAAATGCTTGAAATTAATCAATTTTTTTAAATTTCAATTTTGATGACAGGATTTAATAGAACAGCATGTGTCTTGGAATGAAGAGATAGGAGAGTGGCAGCTGGTGAGTGTCATTTCCATCTTTTGTAAATAAGAAGAAAGTTAACATATAGAATGCAAAGGATGGTAATGTTAAGACTTCTTTATGATGACAATTGCAATTCTTCTTACAACCCCTTGTGTTGCACAATAATTGCTTCCTCTAATAAAATTGAAGACCTTAGTATAAAAAATGAAAATGACAACTCTCTAGAAATGAGTAAACTGGACTACAAATTAAACTATCCCAAATATAAGTGGAAATTGATTATAGTTATTTATCAGTATTAAACAACTATTTATTAATTGGTTTGCAACACAAACATTACAAAGTTTGCTTCAATGGTAAGGACTGTAACATTTTTATCAACATTGTTGGGCACCTCAATCAATACGGTAGATGAAAAGAACCTGTAAGACGGTGGGTAAGTTTAGTTTTGACTTTTTCTGGACATCCAACTTTCAATAATAGTGATCTAAGTTGCTAAAAATTATTATTACTGTATTGTCTTGTAGAGATTTGTGGCATATACAGGTAATAACATGAGAAAGCCATCTCCAAGCCCTGATCCAAAGGACAAGAACAAAGAGGTATGTCTGATCTGCACTGTGGAAAAAAAATATTGACAATTATTGAATGAGGCCGAGTATGATGTGAAGAATAATGCAGATCAAGGAGAATGTTATGACAGCTTCCGAGATCTGCATAATTCTTCACATCGTACTAAAGCCAAATTGAATTATGTTAAAGTTCTTAACAAGCTTAACGCCTCTTAGACTTTCTCTTCAAAACTTTGGTCTTTTTCTCAGCACGGTTTTAGGATATAAACAGATGTTTTTTTTGTGCAGATACTGGAACTCCTCATTAGTAGATAACATCCATCATTGATCAAGCATTATGTTTTGTGTATTTACTTGCATTTCTTCCTTTCACTGCAATGACGAAATATTTTGAAAGAATAATGGTATTAAATGATGCATGTATCATGTATGCATGAACTTATTTGCTAAATCTAAGTGGTCAACTATTGAACAAAAAATTATATGTCTTTGTTAATCTGTTTACAGTTCAGTGAGGCAGACATATCCGGTGTTTATTTAAGCTATGAACAAATTAACTACTCCATGGGGTATGATGAGCCAACTCCTACGAGGCCAAAGAGCAGTCGTCCAAAGTCATCAAGACCTAAGACAGCTGGGAGACCCAAGACGGGAAAGAAGTAAGTCATAGTTTATTTTTATGTACAGAAATGCAGTTAGATAGGGATAGGCTAGCTTACACTGTTTTCATTGTTTGTAATCAAAGATTATACAGTCCAACCTCCACAAACTGCCACCTCTTTACAACGGCCTCTTTTTTGTCCCGGCAGACAGTCCATACATAGACTCTGACTTGTTTAACCCTCCCTACAATGGTTGTGTTCCATTTATACTGCTGAATTAAGCGTAAAATTGTCTATGATACTTGAAGCCAATGTTGCAAACCGTGCTTGTTTTGTTACATTAACATTTTGTCAAGTTTTTTTTGTGTATTTTGTCTGTTATATTTCTCTATACACGCGTATTATATGTGATTGGATTACTATTATATGACGTGCAGCAAGCATGAACTCAGCACAATAAACATGCTGTACTCCCTAAAAAAATCGTCATATTACAGCCCAACCTCCCCATAACAGCAACCTCTCCACAACAGGCTCTTTCTTTCTGTCCCCAAGATGGCCATTGTGAAGAGATTCAGCCGTATATATATAACAATTTTTTTTCTGTTGAAATTATACACTAGGTGTTATTAATATAGCTAAAGACAAACACTGTTTGTGGCCACATCTCATTCAACTATTGTTGCACTTATGCTGCAGAAAAAAGACGGAAGTTGAAGATGCAAGCAACAAAAGTAAAGAAGATGCGGAACAGTATCCACAGTCTAGAAGACTGTTAAGCCCAAAGAAACATTTTGCTTAATAACGGTCATTTAGCCAAGTTAAATGTTTCAAGCATACACGTCTTATGAAGAAACATAATGGTGTAAGGCTTGTCTAGATAGTATAAGTATTATTACTATTATTATTTACTAATATAAGGTTGATGTGTTGTAGAGTCACATGCCGCTTTTATAGTCCTATAGGCTCATGTTAGTGTACATTAAAATACGAAACAGCTTACATTGTGTTTTTCTCCAATTTCATTTTTTACACACATGCAAGAATGTTGCATTTTGCTTCAATAGTCACAGAGTCCAAAGAATAACTGTCAAAGTTGAAACAATTCTCCCAAACATTGTATTGTTTATGTTTGGTATTTTATTTATTTGAAAGATGATGAATTTGTACATAGTAATAAAAAATTAATAGAACAAAGTTTTGTTCAACCTTGAGTACATTATCCACATGGAGAGATGTTGTAAAGAATAAAGTGAGCCACAAATGTTGTGAATAAGTGTTTGCTCTGTTTTTTGCCTGCTTCTTGCTGCTAGTTTTGAGAGACTGCCAAAAGTGTTAGACACCACAGTTCAGGAAAGCCAAAACACAGCCCCACAGCAAAGTATACACCCAAATGCTCTGCTGAGACCATGAAAAACTTCTGCTTTATATTCACTTACTCAATAGTAAGATGTTTACATACATGGTTCGTACAACGTCAGACAAACAAATTTCAAGGACTTTCAAGGATTTTTCAAGGACAATTACAGTTTTCAAGGACTAAGATTTATTTAATAAATCGGCATTCTTTAACCCCCTTTGATCACCCTATTGGCTAAAACACATCATGGAGTCATTTACGATTTTACTTCTGCAGCCATCATTGATCACATTTTTTTATACTACTTTCCACAACTAGACTTTGCAAAATGACTGGGTATGACTTGCAAAAATTATAGCAGCTGAGGAACAGAAATAGCATTTGAAATAAAGAACCAGAAAATAATATAATGTTGTTCATGCACAAAAATATTTTTACATTACCCATGAGTTTTACACCGAGGATGAGCCGAATTTTCCTCGGCAAAATAATCTAATTTTACAGAAAATGGTGTCTGGCATAGACAAGGTTGTGAATTTCAAGGAATTTTCAAGACCTAGTAAAGAAATCAAGTACTTTTCAAGGACCTAAACCGAATTCAAGGACTTTTCAGGACGACTACTAAAATTCAAGACCTTTTCAAGGTTGTTAGAACCATGTACATACATGCAGATGTTTCACATGAAATACACTCATCGCAATAAAGTCATTATGCCGTACATCTTCTATAAAGGTCCCTCTTTCCTGTAAGCCCCTAGCCTCCCACGCAGGCGTTTTTAGGGGAGCTCGTTTTTCATCCCTCCCCACAAACGCCTGCTCAACCGAAGACAACATTCCTTTCCCATTGTTTTATTTGCATGGTAAGTGACCAATCAACAGTTGTTCAATAAAGTGTTGACAGGCTAAATGCGACTAAAACGTGACCCAACATTTACCGTTTTCCTTCTTTTCTTTCCTTCGTTAAGGTTATGAAGTGCATGGAGTATTCTAAAATTCGATTAAATATTATTTTTGCCACTCTTAATCTAACATTTATCGGAGATTAGAAAATTTTTCCCGTGTTTCATGCAGATCGAGTAATATTATCAGATTACCTTGCGGTCAACTTTCCAGAATTTGAAAAGTACAATGTGATTGGCTAAGCATGGGAAAGGAATGTTGTCTTCCGTTGAGCAGGCGTTTGTGGGGAGGGATGAAAAACGAGCTCCCCTAAAAACGCCTGCGTGGGAGGCTAGTAAGCCCCCACCCACCTCCCTCCTTTTTCAGCAGAAAAAAGTTCTTCACAACCAAATTAAAAGATGATAGACTGTATTTTAATAAATCACGATTGTAAGAACACTTCATTTGGACAAATCTGGTATGGCTAATTTGCAAGCTCAACAAACTTCATGTGCTTTAGCTCTGGTCCTTTATAGGGAAGTGATACTATCAATTAAGCTGAATTAATTAAGACTCCTCATCCCCAATCAAGTAAATAAGCTAAGCGGAGGTAGCCTGCGAACGGCAGATGTATTTCCTGTCGTTGCTTCTCTCCCTCCGAAAATTAACATCTGTGAACCTGAGCGACAAAACGATTTCCGTGACGTAAAACCTTTTCAGCCAATCACAGTTTAGCTCTTAAAATCAAGGAACTATACTAACTCACAAGACTTCTCGCAAGATCGTGCGTGGTGGACATGTTTACACTGAGTCGAAATTGAAAGGACAGTGTTGCCTGTGTACAGCCACCCTTTTTCCTCAGAACGACTCGTTTACAAAAGTTAAGAGGGAGAGAAGTGACAACCGGAAATACGTCTGCCGTTCACAGGCTAGTTGGGAAGAAGAAGGAACCTGTTGCTTCCTCTCTCCCGGCTTATCTAGGAAAGATCAAAGAAACTCTTCTAGCAGGGTAAAAATATTACACTCTGCTCTGCAACCTTTAAATGGAAAGAGAGTTCATAGTGCTAATAACTAGTCTTTGATATCTTTCTTGCCGATGTCTTTCTTAGCATTTGTCTCTTATGAACTTATATCACCAAGATAACCTGATTGGACATCATCTACAAAAAAATCTTCAGCTTTTTCATCAGCTGCTTCCCCATCACTGATTCTATCCCTAAAATAATTGTTTTCTTCAGTCTTTTCTGGTATTTGATCAAATATAATTTGCTCTTCAAATTGACAACTTTTGGCGATCTGAAAAGCTGCATCAAGACTTTCCTTAGCTTTTCCAAATTGCTGTTTTTTATAAAATAACTCAGTGTGACAGACATGGAATTGGAACTTGGTTCTTTCAGACAGTTCTGGCAGATGACCTGCTACCCACTCCAGGTGCTTACTAGCAAGTGCTGTGTTTTTCTGCACAGTGTTTAAGGATGTAGCCTTTTGCTGAAGCAGCAGAGATGCTAGTCTGATGTACGAACAGCACTGCTTGTCCAAAACATTGTCGACTGTCAGGCCATTTGTAAATATGAGTGCAGCCTGTTCAAATTTGTGTATTGCTTCTGTGATCAACTTAAATGCAAACTTGGGCATTTTCTGGGCAAAATTGGTCAGGATAAGTCCTTCCTGAAAACAGAGATCACCAACATCCTCACAAACCTCCAGTGCCTGAAGCTTCTTTCTTGCGATTGCCAAACATTCCTCAGCGTTTCCAAGGTATCCATCTTTCTGATGAACATACGACAGATACAAATAAGCTCTGCCCATTAACAATGTCTTGTTCTTACATTTGGCAGCGCTGTCAACTGCCTGCTTCAAAAGCTGTTTTGACGTCTCGTAAAGCTTTTTGCGACAGGCCTCCTGACTTTGCTCTAGAAAAAGCACCACCTTCAGGTCATTATCTGACATTTTTTCCAACATTTGTACAAAAAAATTGTCCAGCTCATTAAAATGAAGCTTCTGCCTCAAGTCTTTGAATTTTGAAACAAGAGACTGGTATTCCTGGTTCAAATACAGAGACGGGAAAATCTTTGCTGTATCTATGACACTGTTTCTGTCTGAAGCCGCAGATCTAGAAGGAGATTTTACATGGGTAGAAATTTCCACTTCTTCACGGGCAAAGATACCACCATCTTCATAAAAGGAATCTGTGAAATCTGATAGGTATCCCTTTCCAAAGAACGTTTTCACAAACAGCAAATCAATCTTTAGAGCAATAGTTATGCGAAATATCACACCTTGTTCAAAAAACCGAAACCAAAATCCCAGACAATTCTTAGCTAAACCCTTTTTGTGAGCTGAAAGGGTGCTATAACAATAATAGTCTTCTGCTTGATCGTTTGTAGTCAATTGCTTTCCTTCTAAAGAAAATCTTTTGATTGACGGAACGTGTAAAATGTATTTCAAACCATCACAGACATGTTGGTCTTTATCTTCGTGATTTTCGTAGCATACCGGTAAACACAACTTGCCATTACGACTGCTGACTTTCAAAGTGAGGTAGCAATCTTTCTTTGGATCGGGAAATTTGAATCTTGATTTTCGCACAGAGACAGGTCTTGAAGGTCTAGAAATGATATGAATGCCGGGCGTTTCAGCCTTTGCCTGTTCTAACAGCTTTTTAACAGCTGACTTAGTTCGAAACAAAGATGCAGGGTCGTCCGTGAAGCTATCCTTCCACGACATTTCTCTTGCATTCTAGAAATGCAAAATGCGTGTTTCATCAACAAACAGCGACAAACAAAGGAACTGTCACATTTTTTCGATCAAACAAAAATCAGACAAAACGCCCGCCATTATGCTCGACTTCCCACAATGCACCATTTAAGCTAGGCTACAAAGCGTTACCAGTCTTTTTCAAGGCCAGGCTACAGAGTAGCTTGACCTTAACAAAACATGGCGACTCAAGTTTGCGGCGATATTTCAGAAGCGACAGAACTTTCGTCCTCACAACGCTTGTACCTTAAACCCCTGGCAAAACTTGGTGTACATGTCACTTTACCAGAGATCAAGGTTGCTGGTGTATCTATATCTAACTGGGAGGTAATGGAGAGGTTAAAATCTATGGTAGCGCCAGACCAGTTCACGGTTTTAAAGGTGGTGGAGTCTTCTTTGGAGTTCATTCGCTTTGAAGGTGAAACAGACACCAAAAGTCTAGTCACAAAATTCATCAACAAATTGGATGGGAAGTTTATAAAATTAAGTGGCTTTGCGGACCCACTTAAGGTACGAGCAACGGAATCCAAGATGAAATTTCCTTCCGTTCACGATTGGAACTCTTTTTTCAGAGAATCTGAAGATTTGGACGAACGTAATCCGGGCGAAAGACCTGATACTATTTACATTAAAGGATTGCCTTGTAAATGGTTTTCAAGTGACGAATCTCCCAGCAAACCAAGCGACGAAGTTTTGAAATCTGTCTTTCGACGTTTTGGGAAAATCCGATGTGTTGATATACCAATTTTGGACCCCTACAGACAAAGGCTGTCAAAGGGCAACAGTGAATTTCAAACGTTTTATTTTGGATCTCATCTGCATTTTGATGCTTATGTCCAGTACAGTCAATATCAGGGTTTTTCAAATGCCATGTCAGCTTTGAAGGGTATGAAATTGATGTATATTTCTGACGAAGGTCGGGCTGCCACTGCCAATATTCAAGTTGAATTTGACAAAACTTGCCATCTGTCTGCGAGGAATATCAAAAAAAGGGAACTAGAACGACAAAAACTGATTGACATAGAAAGAAAAGAAGAAGAAAGAAAAAGAAAAGAAAAGGAAGAAGAAGAGAGAAGAATAGAGGAAGAACGCTTGGAGGAAGAGAGGAGAGAAGCTGAACGCCAGCGACTACTCCAGGAAGCCATAAGAAAAAAGGAAGAAAGGAAGAGGGCTAGGGAAGAAAAGAAGCGAAAGAAACGAGCTGAAAGGATCAGGAGGGAGATTGAACAGAAAGAACAGCAAAGACAGTTAGAAAGGGAGAGGGAAAGGAAGAAAGCTGAGCAGAAAAGAAGTGCTAAAAGGCTTTTGTTAGAACTTCTTCAGCGTGTTGCTACAGTCAAAGAACAAGAAGAAGAGGAGAGGAGGAAAATAGAAGAAGAACGAAAGAAAAGGGAGCAGGAATTAGAAATGCTGAAACAAATCGAAGAGAAAAAGAGGAAACTCGAGGAGGAGCAAAGAAGGAAGGACGATGAAGAAAGAAGAAAGAAGGAGAAACTGGAAGAACAAGAAAAAGAACTTCGTGACAAATTGATTAAAAATCTGAAAAGAATGGAAGAAAGAAGAGACGAACTCAAAAAAGAACTTTTGAAAAGACAGATTGCAAGCAGTACTGCCAAACTATCATCTTTTGCTGGAAATGACTTCTTTGGAAAATAAAATAATAGTGTGCCAATCTTTGAGTTTCTGCTTGTCCTTGATAAACGAAGGCAGTTATTAACAGAGGCTACCGGGTATTCATAATCGAATGACAATATGTTTCACACTAATACATCAAGGGCGTGTTTTGACAGATTTCTGAAAGTGATTTCTTAAACGCATTACCACTTGCCATTATCAGTAGCCTTGCTTCTGCTGTTACACATTAGTGCGCCTACTTATGCACTCATGACACCAGAGTTTGTTTTAAACTCAATGAATGAATAAGTCCTTTGGGAATTCTAACATACCTGGTACTTGGAGTTTACAAGGAAATAATGTGTACCGGCCTGGAAGCCCACACTCCATGCCCCTTATCAAAATCTGCAGTTACACCCCCAGAAGATATTGTACCTGCTTGTAAGCATTGTGTATTTTGCACTGAGTTTGAGTCTTTTCTAATAAACTAAGTGATTCTCCCCTTAAATCACCTTGTGCTTGCTTGGAAATAGAAGGAGCATTTAACATTAAATCAAGATTCATTTGGGGCCTTAATGCATTTCCCATTAATTCTAATCTCCATGAAGACCGATTAGCACAAATCCAGGCTTAGTCACCATGGGAAACCAAATACCCTGATTACAGTTAACCCAGGATTAGTGCTAAGTACAAATCCATGATAAAGTACCATGGCAACCCTGTGTTCTAACTACAGTAAACTGATGATAAGTGCTAAACCACCTACCAACAACTTAGTCTCCCTCACAACTGCTTATAGGAGAGGAGCATTGCCTGACGACACTAAAAACAGCTGAAAGGGAGGCTTCCAACAACTCACCCTCTAGGAAATATTCATTGCAGTACATTACTAATAATAACCAAAGGTTACAGAATGCGGGCAACAACAATTGCTTTTGCACCATCGCTGTGCTTTGCGTAAGTTTCACATGACAGATAGTCAAAACATACATGATCAGAATACAAGTGATAGAAGGTCCAAACATGCATGATCAAAGTGTGTTCTGTGCATTCCTTACATTCTTAGTGGAAGTCCAAATGAATGCTGACTACATAAATGTGACGCATGCGTAATAATAACCTGAAGATTAGGATTGAGGGCCCCTCTTCTCGCGCGCAACAACATAAAAAAAATGGTTATTCTGTCTAGCTCCTGCGATTTCCCTTCACAAGAAAAAACCTTGCTCTCATAAACAGGCAGGGGTTTCAATAAAAGCTGAAGTAGCCAGCAGATTTGAATAGAGTAACCGACCGTATGACTGTATCAACAAGGAGCTGTTGGTCCCCTTTTTCCGGGGGGGGGGGGGGGGTCTGGGCATGTTCTAGCCAGGAAAATTTTGAAATTTCAGAGCCCTAAAATGCGATTTTCAACGTTCTGGGACATAAATTTGAGGACAAAAGAGCATGTTTTTCATTTAACAAAATGTAGCTTTCAATTTATCAGTCACACAATCAATTCCTACAAGCAATAAAAATTGATGAAAACTAAATTACATACTTTTGCATGTAAACAAATTCTGCATAAACCTAATTAAAGAAACCTGTGAAAAAATGACTGAAATAGAAAACCAGTGAAATTATGAAAAAAAAATATGAAAACACATCAAAATAATGTTTTCATTCAGATTTTGTGATATATGTTTTGTTTACAAAGTCATTCAAACTATTCTTCTAGAAAAAAGTAGCCGATGTCTATGTGTTTCGTCGGCCATCAGTGCTTAATGAAACTCCTGAACAGTGCTTAAGTTTTGTCAGGAGCCCATAACTTGCGGCAAGCAACTCCCATTCTAGGAGCAGTCTTAAGTTTGGCTATGGAAAAAAAGATGGTGAGGGAAAACATGCCAAAACAATACAACTTATTTCGAAAAATTTGCATGATGGTTCCCTTAAAACCAACTCATCTGTTACTACAAGCTGGTAGGGAAAAAAATAAACAAGAGTGAGCATAATATAACGGGAAAAAAGGACACATAATTGTAGTTGATAGAGTGGAATGGTTATGAAGCCCATCAGACTCCTTTGTTGTATGTTTTGTGGACTTGAAGGTGCACAATGTTCAATAGAATTCCTAGCATTTTGATCTTATTGACCAACAAAAACTTTGCACTAATAAATTATCCCATCACAATTTGTTGAACAGAAAACAAAGGATTATGCACCATCAGGGAGCTTCCAATACAAACTGCAGCACTATTGTTTTTATCTTTGATGATTGGCGCCTTTCAGACTAATCTCCACCACTACGACAAAAGAAGATGAAGAAAAACACAGTCTCTGAGACTTCATAAAATAACATTTTTATCATTCTTCGTTTTTCCAACATTTGTCAAGTCTAACTTCTACACAATCAATCCACTGAAAGTTTACATGAAGTTTAAAAAATAATGGAAATAGGGCTTTACAGTACTTCCATTACAACTAATAAAACATTCAAGTCTCTTAAAAGAAAACCTGGATGGCTATGATACAATCTTAATGGTCAAACCAAGCAGTAAGGGTTTAAATTAGTCATTAGGTTTGAACAAAAATTCTGGAGAGTGAATAAATGAGAAAATGTCCTGGAAAAGTTTTGAAGAGAATCTGAAAGAGAACCATTCAAAGTTGACTGTAACCTGTGTCACAGATTTTATATTAATTTTGTAATGTAACGCCAGTTTAAGTAACGTCTGCAAAGCAGCGCCAAGATCATTGTTCTGGGCCTATATAGTAAGGACTCGACGAATAATAAACTGGAAGTCCTTTAAATCTGATTGGCAAATCAACAATGGCTTTTTCAACAGACCAATCATAGAACATACTCAAATCCTGGTACACAAGTGGGGGTCCAGAAAGAAAATTTTGGCACTGGCTCACTCTCTAAAGCAAAGATAATTCTCTTTCTTAAGATGCACTCTTCCTGTGAGTATATGACTCTGAAGTACCCTGCAAGGAAGCCCCAAGGACAGTCTCCTGAGTTAATCACACAGTTAGTTGTCTCACATGTAAACAATAATATTTATGACAAAGCCAGTTTCAGGTGGCCAGATCACAAGGCATCAGAAATGTTGAATGCCTGAAACAAGGTTGCGTAGACCTTTTTCTGAAGAAACTAAAAACATTCAAAAGTGGTTAACGATTACTGATGACAAAATAAATCTCAAACCTGACTATTTCCAAGATCAATAAATAATTATTATTTTCAGTAATAAATGGGTAGTAGATCAGTACTTAATTATTTTGCTTTCAGTCTGCCACATTCACCTAACTTCTACAAAGGGAACTTCTGAATATTTTTACATAACACTGAAAAACTTACTGATAATAATTTTTTTATATAATCAATGTACAAAAGAAACCAATATTTAGAGGGTCCTTCAATCAGTCTGCAGTCTCCTCACAGCCGCCCAGGCCAGGCCCGCACCTTGGGCTCACCATCTACACAGCCCTATTCAATCTGATGAAAACACAGGAAATAATATTATAATTCCCACTGTTTTAGAAAAAAAAATCCAAACAATAAAGGACGTAAGCCAGAATGAATAAATTTCCAGTGAGGTTTTGAAAACCATTCTATAGACAACTGGAGATTGTGCGTTATTAGATTTAAAAACCACTTAGCTGTGCACAGTGATTAAAATTTGATAAGACACACCAGTTCATCTACAGTGAAACCTCGAGATAAAGGAGGGCTAATGGACTGGCAAAAAGTGTTTTCTATAACAAGACTTTGTTATTTATCAAGGTTATGTTCCTTACATTTTACTATTACTGTGGCAAAGAATATTGTTCATGATAACAAGGACTTTGTTATATAGAGGTTTATTATATTGAGGTTCCACTGTATTAACATAACATACACAGTTGCGTCTGCAGCGGATGACCACATCAATAATAAAGTTCATTAACGATTAAGAAGTATTATTATTCATTCAAAATATTTCCCCAATTCTGATTGGCTAAAAGCACATGCATAATTCACCATAACCAGTTACTGATGACCAAATTTGGAAGAATTTTGTGTTTAACGAGGAAATGATGTCAAAAATGCAGCCTGCTACAGGTTAAAGCACCGTTAACCGAAAAAACCTGGGGACGAGATTGATTGGCGGACACTTCACACAGCAAGAAGACAACTCAGAGGGCAACATCTGCTGTTTGGAGAATATTTACAGAGCTGGACAAACCTAAACTTAAACTATTGAAGATAAACTTAACATTGATGCAGGTAAGCTTGTTTTAGCTGTGTTTTTAAACTAGGAATTATTTTGAATCAATAATAAAACAATTTTTGAATTCGGCTTTCGTATCATATGAAGAATTATGAAGATCTCAGAGGGTGTTATCCGCCTCGGCCTATGGCCTCGACAGATAACACCCTCCTCGATCCCCATAACTCTTCATAAGATACTCAGCCTCACTCATTAATTGTTAAAATTGTGATGAGTGGATAAAATATTACTGGACTTAACTTATATTAAATGTTTTTTGTTCTTTTCAAGGAAAATTACCCATAAATCTCTGACTTTAATCACAACCTAGTGTAAATTTAAAGATGTAAACACTGCATCAAATTTTGGTTAACTTATGTCTTCAGTTTTAACTTCAACTGTCGTTTAATGCCTTCACCAAGTACCTACATTTCAAAGGAAATCACTAAGGTAATAACATGTTCCCAAGTAAATAATGCCCACAAATAAGACCGAAACAAAAGTATGAGAGTTAATGAGAATTCAAAGTTTGTGTTTGGGAAGCAATAAGACGTACACTACTACATCAACATATCTGTTAGAAACTAAAGCATTCAAAATCCTACTCAGCTTAAACAAGTCCAAACTTATTATTTCCAGGGGCTGGATATTGCTCTCTGTCCACCAAAAGCATTCCTTTTTACAACCCTGAAGTTATTGCTCTTTCTTTCCTCCTTTTCCATCTTCCTCCTCTGTTTCTGATTCATCGTAATATTGTTGATGTTTCTCACCAGGCTTTAAGAGTCTTCCAACCATGTCGTATTTTTCCATAAACTGTGTCTCCCATTCATGCAGAGAATCCAGTTGCATGCTGTTTAAGTCTGACAGATCATCATGTTCTGTTTTCACGGCATCAGGTCCAACATCAAACGTAGCAAGACCTCGGCTAGCATCATGTCCCGCAAACACGCTGTAAGGTCCACCTGAATGGAAAAACTTGACTGTTAATAATAAAAACCACAGGAGTTTCACTGGGCTGCCTTTTAGACCTCAAAAAGCCATGTGCTAAATAATTTTAAAAATGGGATATAAAATCAAAAGCCAGCCCCGAAGCAGCTGCATAGTTGACAGTGCCCACTGATGTGCAAAAACATGTTTATCAAAACACGCTATACCTTTTGGCTTAATCTGGGTCCATATTGATAAACATTTGTCATTTTTTCAAGGCAATGGCTGAATGAAAGAAGATTTTAGTCTGGGCATGTAACAGGCAGCCCAGTAAACTAATGTATCCACTACAGACGAAACGCAACACCTCAAACCTCAAACCATAGTCATGGAGAGGCCCTTTTAAGAGTGTTTTGGTCAAAGTCTGAAACCCTTATACCGTGAAGACCCTGTAGTTATTTCAGCATCACTTTTGCAGCCTTGTACTTTGATTTCACAGTTTTAATCCAACATCGTACGCTTAGGTTTAAAAAGTGAACTATTTACAATGCTAAAAAATATATATAAGAAATACAATTCAGTTGGGTGTTCACCGGCGAAGCCAAGACAGTGCTCTACTTGCAGTGAAGGAGCAGAATAGACCAGTAGGTGAACTACTCAAATCCTGAGTGCATGGGTGTTTAATACAAACTTGTTTCATAGGCCATCGAAGAGGTGACCCACTCAGTTAACCTCCCTTATAACACTGAAGCAATGGGGTCTACATCAACAATATAATCGCGTGACAAAAACGATTACATATAAAGTTTGAAATTTAAATTTTTAAAAATTTTAGAATGAGAAGTGCGCACGTGCTCTTAATCGCCTACAACTCTTATATGAAACCCAAGTCACACTAAATGCTGGCACTAAAATCCCTGGCTTTGACATGGCCAATTATACCTTAGGATGAACTTGCATCGATGTCTACATGTTGAGACAAGTTCGTTGTGCTTGTTCAGTGTTGCCATGTGAGGCCTACACATTAAAAAGAACTTCTGTGTGGTACATAGATTGCAATGTTTCGTGAGGTTGGTGTAAGGTTTTGCTTTGGCAACTGTTACGAAATATACAAATTTTATTGTACTGTTTGTCCCAATTATTTGCCCCAAATCCCTGTCTCCAAGCTCTGGTCAATAGATGATTAACCCTCACAAGGTCTTTACAAAAGAAACTTCAAAATGGTTAAAGTTACTACAAGGTTGAGCTATCAATAGTTAAAAAGTTACAATAGAAAATAAAGCTAATCCATCTTTTTGTGTGAAAACATTCATTAACATAACTATTTTTTACAAAAAAGGTGGTAACCTCAAGATCTTGGAAACCAAGACAGAGGAGTGTCTCACGTGCAAGTAATGTGCCACGTTCCAATTAAACTGTAGATACTTTTAATTAAAGCTTATTAAACTGGCTTTCCCAATTGATGATTTTTTAAGGATTTTTTCATGCAAATGTCCGAATCTGTTTTAAAAACCTAAAAACAAACAGCAATGTTTATTTTTCACTTATTTGATTTGTTCTAGTCTTTGGGAAGTCGAAGCCCTGAAAAAAATGTCAGTGTTTTCCCATTTTTGATTACGATCACAAGTTACAGAACAAATTGGAAATGGCACTAAAAAGAAGTAGGATGGTCATACAAAAATGCCCGTCACCAAAAAATTTTAAGAAACAAAAATTCCCCAACACATTTTTGCTGCTTGCACATTAAAGTAACAAATCTTGAAAATTCTAGGTCAATCAAACAAATTCCAAGTTATAGCCTCTCAAAGTGTCCCCCTCTGAGTGGAAAGTATAAAAAATCAAAAATCAAAATTTTAACAAAATTAATCATCTGAAGGTATCCGGTAAAAGACAAAGACAAAGACAAAGGTTTTTATTACAAGACTGGGGTTCATGGCATAAAATGCAGTACTTCTAACACTAGGACCTCTTTTTGCAGGAGAAAAGAAAATAGCAGATAAGTAAAATCTATTCAGTTCCTTTGAAAACAAAGGAAGCATGCTCGAGTCACATGCTTGACATATTTGAATAACAATGAACTGATACACAGGCTGAGGACCGTTATAATTAATGGCGCCAATTTTAATTTGTTCTAAGTACTTGTAAGCACAAAATATACAAAGAAGGATATGAAGAACTGTTGGTGTATGAACAATTGTCACTGAAAACTTTCATAAGGCCAAGATGACGACGTAAAGATGCCCCAGTGTACTGGTAAGTTTCTTGAAACTCGTACTCACACATGCAAGAAATTACACAGACATTCGATCAACTACTCTAGCACCATTCTGTGGTCAGTTACATAGAACGATTGACGCAGAAATGCGGCCAAAATTAAGGCTAAGCTAATACCTAATCGATCCTGAACAAATCTGACAAGGGTAAATGAAGGTGCACGAAATCTACATCGACATTCATTGTAACCCTTAAAATCTAGCCATATTGCTCTAACAATGACATCCGTCGATAAACTTACCTGGACCATAGAAGTCTTTTCCACGTGTTACATCAAAAACCTTAAAGTTAACGGCAAGAAGGACTCGCTTCTGCTTCACGCCATCGTACTCTAGCAACTCAACAGGAGTGAAGTCGCGTTTCTTCATAGGCTCAAGAGGCTTTTCTCGAGGAGGGGGAGGAGGTTTTCGAAATCTTGACTGCACAATCTTTCGAATAATATATACTATAATTAGCAGTCCAAGAATTTGAACGGGAGAGGAAAGAGATTTAATAAAATTTACGACAGGGGATAATGCGGTGTCGAGGCCCATTTTGTGTGAAATTTACAACATAGCGCGTCAGTATAATGATTGCAAGGAGTTATGGGTAATCTAGGTCACATGCTTTTTCGCTTGTTTCAACATGTGATGTTTTGAAGATGTTTTGGCATTTGGCCCACGGTCGTTTTCAACCCCCCCCCCCCCCCCGTCTCGAACATAGTCCTCCCCCCCGCCAAACTTAGCATTCGTCCTCTGCTCTACTAACCCCTTAGCCTGTGGGCCGGACCAAATTTAGGGACAAATTATAAGTAGTGTGATTTAAGAAAGACAGATTTCTAAAGTGCATAATGTTGACGGATACACCCTACAGTTGAATACCCTTGTCTTTTACAATTTTCTTGTAAATCTACCATTACTTGTCTTTTTTTCTTTCTTTTTTTATTTGATAATTTTCTTTCTTTTCTTTCTTTTTTTTATTTTTTAGTATTTTTATTTTTCTTTTTTCTTTTCTTTTCTTTTTCTTTTTTATGCCTTTTTGTTTTTTAAACTAAAAAAAAACATTTCCTCAAATTCAAGTTAAATCAAAAATAAATTGTTAGACAAACTAAATGAAAACAAAATAATTTCAAAGAAGCTATAATATCAAGCAAACCAAAATTAATTTGCTGTGAAGTGAATGAAAAAGAAATAATCATGAATAATAATAATAATAATAACACGAAATATAAATATGGCGGTTGTCTTTCTAAGCTATTATAGTTGCAGAGTTCATCTTCATGTTTTTGATCATTTTTCAAACTATATCAAACACGAGATGAAGTGTTTCATTCGATATCAAAATACCTCGATTCGACCAGACAAAAAAAGAGCAAAACCTAAAAAAAACAAAATCAGGGTTGCGCCTTAGAACCCATTTCTAGTTGCCTGCTTCGAGTGTCCGGCCAGTTTCGTGTTTCATCTGTTAAAGCGCTCGAAACAGGATGAAGGCAGAACATGAAAATCTCGTTTCAGCAACTAAAGCAGCAAGCTCAATAAATCACTAGGTAGCTATAGCGAGCTTCATATGCTGACCATGGCGGTCATCTGGAACGACTCTAAACTCGGCCACGTACTATATCGAATTCGACAAGCCTTAGGTTTATACCGGCGGAGAATCCAGTTGAGGCTATTATAATTACAATCGCATTGGTACCTTCATTTTTCAGTACTACTGCCTTGTCACTGTCGAGCTTAATAGACTCTTTGAATCCGTGCCCTCTTAAACGAAATAACTCTTCGGAAGGACTAGATAATATGAAGGCTAAGGGCTTAATGCTCTGATACGGTTTTGATTGACACCACTTATGTTACTTAGCTATTACAGATTATAGGCGGTCGAGATTCCAATTTGAACATGGTTTTTACGTAGAGAATCGACGTGTGTTATTTCACGTGGTTTGTAACTTTCTTCGAAAGAGAAAATGGCCGTCATTTCTTGTAGGCCATTTTCGAGTTCCAAAAACTCTCACTTTAAAAACGAGACTAAGTGCAAAACTTTTGTTACGAAAATTTTAAAGAGTTTTTTTGCATGAGAATATCCATGGCTTCGCACTCAGCCTCTCTTTGGAAGAGAGGTTTACGGCAACTCTGAAATCCCCACAAAAAAACTAGTAGTAATTGCCCTTGCAATTACACTCATTTAGGCGGTAACTTCATTGTTCAGCGTTATTGATTTGTCACGGAGTGAAGTCTTGTTTAATTCCTGCTCTTTTAAAGCACAAACTGATACAAAATAACTCTTCAGGGAGGACGAAATAATACTGATTATTATATAAACACCAATGAAATACCAGGTGAGCTTTCCCGCGAAAACATCGTATCTTCACACGTGAAAATAACATGTTCTTATCTTCACATATGCATGTGTAAAGATCACCGTTGCTATGACTACATAATACTTAGCCGCCCCTTTCACAGCATAAAAACACTTTGAGTGAAATGGTTTGGTATTTCATTGGTGTTTATATAATAAAATTATTAGAACATTACACCGCCACTTGGGGATGGAAATTTTTATTGTGTTCAAAAATTTTTCACTCGTTCGCGCGACGATGTAATATCCTCTATTAACTGGTATACAAACTATTCAAGGGCTGAACTCGCTCTAATGCAGCTTTAGTTTGATTGAAAGTTTTCACCAATATAAGTAATACCGTTACTTTACCATAAAAACTGCGCACTTTAGTTATTTATCACCGCTAGAATTGTTTTTTGATAAGCCATACAAAGCATGAGTACAACTGTCTCATCCGAATATAAAGCATGAGTACAACTGTCTCATCCGACAACCAGTTTTCTGAATGTTAGGGCACAGCGCGCGCATATTCACCACATTGTATTAAGACAGTAAAGAAGGATACTCAACGACTTAAAACACAGTGACGTTGCTCAAACAGGATTTTAATTTAATGTCCTTTCTTTATTTTAAAACCCTCGAGGTGTTCCGGCTTTTCAATTCAAGTAATGATTACACTGAAACTTTAAAGAGAGGCATAAAGCAATTCAAGTAACAGTCTATTTTATTCAGCGGTTATAGATGTTCTAAAGAAGCATTATAGTGACAAATATCATGATAATATTTTGGCAAAATGTTTTTAAGACGTTCTATTGTTAGCCTTCTCTAAAGCCTAATGATGATAAGCGTCTGATATATAACACCGATGCATCAAAAGATCTACCAGCTGGGTTGTTGTGTCCTGACTACACCAATTACCGGAAAATTGAAGCAAAATGATCAAGGGAAAACAAACACATTCACTTTTTAGTACACAACCTCTCACAGCAAGAACATTGGAAGGGAGGGAAAGAACAGCAGAGGGGCATATCTTGTTTGTGAAGATTTCTCTTCGTGGTAAGTGAGCCCAAGGGATGCTGGGTTTTTTTCATAACTAATGGCGAACCACTGACCACTCCGACAAGAAGTACAACGCACAGGATCACAACGGCATTCATCTGAAAAATAGTAAAGGCTCAGTCAAGTACAGTGGATGATGGGACAATGTTCTATTAAAAATAAATTTAAGAAAATTTCATTGTGTTTGTCGAGAACTACTTCTAATACTCAGTTACAAACCTTCTTAAATAGAGTTTTGCGGTACGTTTCAGACGGTTTGCTGATCGGGAGTCTATGAGGACTTATTTCACCAACGGGTAACTTGGCGCAACCCTAGCTATAACCTGTGGCAGCAAACAGGAGATGTTGAAGAACTCCCTTATATGGCACGTTTTATAAACAAGCCAGAAGAAGAATACAATATGAATATGTAGGCCCTCCTGCCAATTAAAATTGTTCTCATTTCGTTTACCGCCGGGGGCGGATCTGTATTTTAGAAAGAACACCCCGGCCGAACTAAAATCCCAAAATAAACACGGATGTTTTTCTGAGCTATTACAGTTGTGGAGTTCATGTTTATCCGGATTAAATTTGGGGGGCAAATTTGTTTGCAGAACCTTCTCTTGCGGATCGTGAAAGACACCTAGAAAATTAGGACGGTTTTCGTGCCTCGTGTCAATCTAACATAAAACGAACCCAAGGAAGTGACCGTACCGTGAGATTAAAGATTCTGATTACCATAAAATTTGCTAATTGTCTTTTATTACATGAATTTTTGGTCATATCAGAAGCAATATCAAACGCGAGAAGAACAGTTTCATTCAGGCGATACCCACATACCCCATTCGAACAGGCAAACAAAAAAACAAACAAACAAAAACAGGCTGAACCTATTTTTTTTACCCGTTTCCTGGAGAGTGCATGGAGATCCGATAAAACTGTACCTCTTTTAATTAATTGTCGCTCCGGGCGTTTCATCTCCATTCGATCAAAATGGAACAAGGACACGAACAACCATGAACATCCCGTTTATAGCTCGATCAGTCACTACTGGGTATTGAGCTTCATTTGACAAAGTTCAGCATACGAAGCCAGTTGTTGAAATTACAATTACAAGTGCATTGCTACCTTCATTCTTCAGGGTACTGGCTTGTCACTTTCAAGTTTAGACCCGTTGAATTCCAGCTTCCTCTAACCAAAAGTTGTTTCAGCTGTGTACGAAATAACTCTTCAGGGGGAGGGATAGATTAGTCTGTCGAACACCTAAATTTGACCACATAACACCTACCTTAATTCGTCTACACTGGCTTCCAGTTTGTTTTAGAACATATATCGATCCTACGTTTTAGGCAATTTATGATGTTGTACTGTCCTATATTTGTAACTTGATGAAGATTAAAGAACGGACACGATATGACCTGCGTTCGAGCAAGGAACTGTTGTTAGAGCCACCACTAGTTATGACCGAGAAAACTCTTGTAGATAAATCAGTTTAAGTAGCAGTACCTCAAGGGTCAGTTCTGAGGCCTTTCCTCTTCACGATTCTTTATTAATGACACACCTAAAGTATTAATCTCGAGTGAAAAATCGTTACCTCTCTTTGCGGATGATTCTAAGTGCTTTCGTTTAATCCTTGGGTAGGATTATTGTGATAAATTACAGGATGAAGTGGTCTCATACTTGGAGAATGGAGTTCAATGTTAAAAAGTGTAAGGTTGTGTTAGATCTGCAGTTGATAGGGATTATTTCCTTGGGGGAATTAAGTTAGACTGTGTTGCTGTTGAGAAAGACGTGGGAAGTTGGAATAAGCACGTTGATCTTATCATGCACTTCCAAAGCTCAAAAGATGCTCAATTTCCTTTATCGTACATGAAATGAAATAACTGATATTAGAACAAAGAAATTACTTTACATAACTTGGGTTCGATGGCGTCTTGAATACGCTAGCGTGGTATGGTCGCCGCATACTAAAAGAAATATTACTAGCTTAGAAAAGGGGCAACGCAGGGCGACGAGATTTATTCTTGGTAAGGATTACTCTGAGCACGAGGGTTTTAGTAAATTAAATTTATTACCATTATAGTAACGTAGAGAAATTAATAATCTCGTAAACTGTCCCTTTAGTTATTGGAGCACTTGGCCTAGTTAAAAAGGGCCTTGGAAAGTACGTGGAAAAAAA